TTCAGCAAAACGATTGTTTATGAATACCTAGCGAGAGCTCAAAAAGTTCAATCATCTATTTATCTCAAAAAGACCTCAAAAACTGAGCTTGAATTAGAAATATGTCTTCTAAAATCTTCCTCGCCTGGACCTGATGGGATTCTACCATCACTTATTAAGTCTGTAAAACAGTTTTTAATTGATCCGCTCTTGTATATATTTAACTTATCTTTTAAATCTGGTATTTTCCCAGACGCCCTCAAATTGGCCAAAGTAACACCTGTATTTAAAAAAGGAGTCACTACAAATCCTTCGAACTATAGACCAATTTCAGTTTTATCGGTATTTTCTAAATTGTTAGAAAAGCTCATGCACGCCAAACTCACTGGTTTTTTAGAACGTTTTGAAATTATTTTTACTTATCAATTTGGATTTCAGAAATTCAACTCTACCTACATGGCCATTTTATATTTCATTGAACAAATTCGAAAATCAACTGATTTGGGGAAAACGAGCATTGGCATAACATTAGATTTTTCCAAGGCCTTTGACACTATTAATCATGACATTTTGATACAAAAACTTGAATATTATGGCATCAGAGGAATAGCTAAGTCCTGGTTTGAAAGTTATTTAAAAGACTGCAAACAATATGTCACCATTAACAATTATGAATCTAAACAATCATCTCTAAATTGTGGTGTTCCGCAGGGCTCGGTACTTGGACCACTATTATTTATTCTTTACATAAATGATCTGCCTTTTGTTGACCCTAATCTAAAATTTATTATGTTTGCTGATGACACCAATCTTCTTGATAGTGATTATGATTTAAATGAACTTATGACTAGAACTAATGCAAACTTGAATTCAATAGATGACTGGATAAAAGCAAACAAACTTTCACTTAATATTGGCAAAACCAATGCTATTCTATTTGGACCCCAAAAAAAAATCAAACAAATCTGAATCTCAAAATACGCAATGAGAACATAAATTTCCGGGATAAAATTGACTTTCTTGGAATTATTATTGATAAAAACTTGAAATTTAAAGAGCACATAAAATCTATTGAAACAAAGATTTCTCGCGTCATTGGTTCTCTTTATCAAATTAAACATCTACTTCAAATAGACAGTTTCAAAACAATTTACTACTCATTGATACACTCTCAATTAAATTATTGCAACATAATCTGGGGTAACACATTTAAATCATTTTATGATCGTCTACATAAACTGCAGAAACAATTCTTAAGGCTAGCTTTAAATATTAAATAGACCTTCTCACTCCGCTCCCTTATTTGAAGATCTTAACATATTAAATATTTTTGATGTCAACAGATATTGTACTGGTCAGTTCATGTACAAAATCTTTAATAAGCACCCCAGTCTTCCAAAAAATCTATTTCAAGACTTGTTTGATATCAACATTAATATTCATCATCATTACACAAGACAATTGCATTATTTTCATATCCCTAAATGCTCTAAACTTTCCCTTCGCTATCTAGGTCCTAATCTTTGGAATGCTCTACCACATGATATTAAAAAATGCTCCACTCTAAATATTTTCAAATCTTCATATAAAAAACTACTCATCTATCGATAATGTATAATACCAATATCATACTATACTGTTGATTTTATACTGATACCTGATTTTTGTAACATTTTTACATTGTACATCCTTAGATTAATTGTTAATACCATTTTTATATACCTACATGTAACATAATATAAGTGTTTTCTTTTATATGTAGTCTAGATGTCATTTTAATGATTTCTGTTAGACCGCAACATATACCCACTAGGGTGTCTAGCGGCTTGTTTTTATAGTGTATATTATATAAGAATTATGAAATAAATTGAATTGAATTGAATTATATATTTATTATATATTTTTATTTTTTGGGATCCTGTTTTTACGGCGTTCGCATTAAATACAAACCACTCTGTTACGTCACGTCCCAGATAGCACAACTCTGATGGGCCAACGTTGGCCCAACAATTACGTATCTGTTGGTCCAACGTTGGCTGACGTGGTTGGCCCACCGTCGCTATGTCCATTGGCCCAGTGGTCCAACGTTGGCCCATCAGAGTTGTGCTATCTGGGATTGTTGGCTCCCTGGTATTAGCGGCAGCCAACGACGGGCCAACGTTGGCCCAACTACAATTTGCCAACTGCGACCATGCCAACCAATGGCCACCAATAGCGACGTTGGCCCGACGTCTTTGTGCTATCTGGGGTATATGACGTTCGTTGAATTATCGCAATCAAAATGTCAGACGAAATGGAATTTCCATTACAATTTATCTGACTATTCAATGTTCGCTGGATAATAATTCCCAATGGGATAAACAGACAATCCTATAGTTTTTCAAAAATATCACTTATATCCACTCATGGATATCAGTATCTTCACTCATTCGCTGCGCTCACTCGCGAAGATATCAATATCCACTCATGGATATAAGTGATATTTCAGAGCCATAGGATATTCCTATATTATTCCATAGTTAGCATGATATCCATAGGATAACATGTCAAAATAAAAACGGTATTTTTGAAATCAGTGGTAAAATATGATATTTTTGGCAAATTTTCACTTAACCATAGCATACGGTGTTTTAGCCATGACATGCGGCGTCGTATGCCATGGTTTATGGATTTTTGCTACTTCAGACTCAAAACGAGGCTAAGTGTCAATATCGCCGTATCGTTTGGAAAATTCGTTTTAGATCACTTAATTCCCGAAGATTCTGATGATGACTTTAACTATGGAATATAAAGAACATCCTATGATTTACTCGTGATATGATTTTAATCCACTCATGGATGTTGATACATGTATCTGCACTCTCTCGCTACGCTCACTCGTGCAGATATCATATCCATTCGTGGATAAAAATCATATCACTCATAAATCATAGGATATCCTCTATTTAAGATGTGATATTCGATAGTTTAAAAGTGATATTCGATGGTTTGTAAATTGTTTGATAAAATATGATATCTTGATCCACATATCAAATATATCATCATGTGATATTCGATCTATATCCTCCTTGCAACCATGGGATAAAGCTTTACGTCCCGCTCCAAGCGGGCAGATGTAGTATATCTGCCCGCTACGTCATAATCGCCGCTTGCATATTTGTTCATAATTTGTAACGTTCGCGGAATGACTGTAAACGGCAATGGAGAAAACACAGACAATCAGGGTCTGTTTGATAGTTAAAAAAGGGAAGGGGCATCCACTTTATCAATAAAAAATTCGAGAAAATAAATATGGGATTATTTGAGAGAACATGAAAATCCGCCCACGGCCAAGAAAACAAAACTGGACATGAATATTCTAAAATATTTCCACGATTTAACAATGTGAACCAGATGACCAAGATTGGTATGGGATAAACATATTATCATATAGTCAGGATATTGGGATTATCCCTTGGCCAATATATAGGGGTTATGCAATTGGAGGTTTTGGATACAGGGAATATCCCGAGGGATATACAATATATCTTCCCGAGGGACCGAAGGGACCAAGGGAAGACATATTATATATCCCTCGGGATATTCCCTGTATCCAAAACCTCCAAGTGCATAACTGTTGTATATAGTTTAGCATGATATGTACTTCTTTCTGTAACTGGAATACGATTCTAATATACAAGCAGCACATACGTATTCCCGGGGAACCATAAATATTTTGTGTAGTGTGTGGACATTTTTCTTTTCATTTCTCTAAAATCAGATTATTCTCATAAAATTCATACAAAGTTGGGCCTAAGCCTCTATTTTCGTATTCTGCATGTAAAGATATTTATAATGTAAACCCTAAGAGATAAATTCAATGTCTTCAGTTGAGAATAAGTATAAGGAAAATGTGTGAATTTTGCTTGTTGTTGCACTATTTTTATAATAAACAAGGTTCGATACGCAACACTGAATAGACTGCAGTCATAGCTTAGTTGTAAAGAAAACAAAAGAAGTTGGGACGTGGTCATGCTTGAATACGATTTTAAATATATCGCCGTTTACATTTGTTGAAATCGGCCTGTATTAATTTCAACAGGTGATCGGTGTACAAGGGCATATATTTGAGTTATTGGTTTAACGATAAGTATGACCTATGAGTGGGTAACGTTTTACAAATGCATGAAACAAATACTCCAATGGCCTAATCTCAATTTTCCTGCATAAACTATTACATTGAAATGATGGTCATTTGCTCTCTAACTTCCGCACCGCATACGTAACTTCGTAACAATTCAATAAGCCAAGACAGGACCGCTATAATCGCTACATGCCAGTGTCAAAGAGAGGCCATTCAAGTACAACCTATTTACTATGGGCTGTAAGTTTATGCTATCAATTTATTTTGAAATGGTATATGATATATTTACCATTAAATAGTTTTGTGACAACGTGTATTTTCCTCGGAGATAATATGGATTGGCTAAACTAATCATACAAGCAAACAGTTCCCATAATCTAATTAAATTTAATTTAATCTGTATCGTTCGATTTAAATGAATTACTATGTACATGTATATTACTTTTTCAGAGTTGCTGCCTCATTTCTGTCCCACGTGAAAACTCCTTTACGGATACTGATAGCGTCACCTGGCGGAGGGTTGTGTGTAACTGCTGACTCGTCTATTTCATCCAATAGTAGAAAGTTAGTAATCCTGTCTATTGAAACTAGTGCCTTGAATGAAAGTCAGTCAACGGTAATAGACTATAATTGGGTGTTTGTGGTTATAGCAACACGCGCATCTTGAGAAATCTCCACCTTCTTTCACTTCCTTTCTCAGAGTATCATAATTCCAAATTTCGTTGATGTAGGTAAGATTCATAAATATTTTTAATGATGAGATTTCGATTTCTAGTTCTTAATTTATTGAGGTTTTTGGTATTATCTAATGACTTACCTGAACTAAACTAGTAATGGCGTTGGGTAAAGTTGACATAGGAGTATTTAGTGTATTTATATAAGACAATGACACAAACGCCTTCTGTGCATCCAGAACATTGTTAGGATCGATGTAGACGAACATAGCGAAACATACAAATGACACCTGAAACGACATTCATCCGTCTACACATTCATTCTGATACTCATAGCATCTTTCTGGTTCACCTGAAGCATCTCATTTACTTTTGGTACATCGCGTTGAGATTTAACAGTTGAGAGTATAAAAGTTCCATTAATCTATAAATACGCTGGTTAGGGGGTTCCATGCAGATTTCCTGCAGGTCCCACGAGGTAGCATCCAACGAGATGCCTTGAAGTATATAGTGAGCGTTGGAGAAGCCTATACGAAAGTTCGAGATAAAATTTTAAGATATCCTATTAATAAGTTGCCTAGTAATATTAATGACGATACTACACTGTTCCTTAAGTCCATAGACTCAACCGAACTAGTACTTAACTCTTTAAAATCCTTTTCAGAAATCTCTGGGCTGAAGCCAAATCTAAATAAAACCGAAGGACGATGGTTAGGAGCTTATAAGAATGACCCCCCTTTTATACAACCGCATTGTCAAACCTCCAAAATTCAAATAAACAATGATAAGTTTAACGCGTTAGGAATATGGTTTAGTCACGATTTGAATGAAAGAAATGACCTAAATTTTTCTTCAAAAGTTAAAGCAATAGAGAACCTTTTTAAAATCTGGAACTGGAGAAATTTAAGCCTGATTGGAAAAAATACAATAATCAAAGCCCTTGCAATATCAAAACTAACATACCTTGCATCAACTATTCTCGTTCCAATCAATATCATCGAGCAAGTGCAAAACCTTATTAATTCTTTTATATAATAACGATGGGGCTAAATGGAAACTTTTCTTTTACAAATTATTGCCTAATCTTGACTCAAAAGAAATATTTCAAGCAAAATTTAAAAATGACGCCTTTAATAATTTTCCACCTTTTTATCTCTCGATTATGAAAACCTGGAGCAAAATTCACAATGATGAACCCTACGATAAAACTACAATAACAAATGAAACCATTTGGAACAATAAATGGTTAACAATCAATAATAAAACAGTAAATTACATTAACTGGAAAACCCAAGGTGTAAAACAAATTAAAAACCTTATAAAAGAAAATGGAGAACTACTAGGATACCAAGATTTCATTCAAAAGTACAATATCACTACGCCCTTCGTAACATATTATGGCATAATTCATGCAATCCCGAGAAATTGGAAAACGCTTTTGCGAAATGAAAAGGAAAATATTAAAATTCTAGGAGCAAACGACATTCAAGTAAAAAAATCTATGATAAATATAAAACGCATCACCACAAAAGAAATTTACTGGTATATCATAAAAGACCATTTTAAAGATCCTACAGGGAAACGATACTTCAACGAAAAATACAACCTTTCCGAACAGGAATGGAAATCAATTTTTAGACTACCCTTCGAAGTAGCCCGTGAGCCCAAAATACAAAGCTTTCAATATAAACTCCTATTAAACCTCACGCCATGCAATCTATTTCTGTTTAATAAAAAAATATCTGCATCAAACTTATGCGATAAATGTAATCTTGGCCAAATTGACGATACTCTCCATTTTTATATAGAATGCCCAACAGTAGTGAACTTCTGGAATGACATGTCAATTTTTTTCAATAACATTCATTTAAACAATAGGGAAATACTACTAGGCATCACTAATAATCCAGAAAATGACAACAAATCTGCACTAAACTATTGCCTACTCTACGCAAAAAATTACATTCACTCCTCCAAAGTGGGTAACTCGATTATCAACATAAATGTGTTTAAAAATATCATAAGAAACAAAATAAAAAACGAATTAAGAATATCAACAGAAAATCAGACTAGGCCACTCTTTATTAGAAAATGGAATTCTATTCTTAACAAATTAGAGATACCGTTTTAACAAAAATCTGTACTGTACCTTGTATTTTATTACCGTATTGTATTTTTATATTTCTATGTACCTGTATGCTATGTTCATGTTGTACATGTTCCAATTATTGTATTTTTATAGTTCCGCTATCACAAGGTAGCTCTTTTGACTTCTCAAAGTACCCAAAGTTGTGCTTATGTGTGCGCATTGTGATGTATTGTAGATTGTAAATGAAAATTAAAGATAATAAATATATATATATATAAAAAAAAAAAAAAAAAAATATTAATGATTTAATAAATGATCAAATCGTAAGAGTACGAACCAAATATGGAGTGCAGAACCACGTGACTGCACTCATAGCGTTCAGGAACTGTATTTTCTTCAATATGCCCAATTCTAGTTCTCGTATCTTAGCAATCTCTTTATCAAAAGAGGTTTCCCATGCATACAGCTTTAGTACCTATATGAAAAAGACCAAATTGAATGTTTTGGTGCTGGTCATTGTCTGGTCATTTGTTGAACTGAACATGAATTTTCATGAATTTCTTTAATTGTTACAATGATAATTCATGGTTCTCGTTTGAAAATACATGCTTATATTTTCTAATATTCGTAAAATAGATTTATTTTTAAAATTACCTTTATCCCACTCAGAACTTCATTGGTCAATTTTATCCTCTTGTCTTTGTACAACATTTGATCCACCTGGAACATATTTTAAGAAGACTCCTATGAATGAAATTGTACCACATTAACGGTATATTTTCTTTTTCCTCGCCTTATCATAATCTATCATAATTGAGAAAACGATTAACTTCAAATTTTAAATAAATGATCCAATTGCCCATGGTTCCAATATACCATTTGAAAGGAGATTGTCACGAGCCTTTCTAATCTGAAAAAATCTGAAAAAAGGTTTTACTAATACAGGAATTTATGAATAAAAAATGAAATATCCAACTAAATATACGTGTTAAAATTGATTTGCCATCAAGAATATATAAAAACTTAATATGCCATTTTTCTATATTTTCATGCCAATTTTTGTGTATCTCAATTTCGTAAACCACGAATTTAAAAATGTATATGTTACATCAAAGCACTTACCTGAAGAGCTTTTACTCTTTTGGCAAAATAGAGTACATTTGAAGGCGTCACAACTCCCATAAGTACGAGCCCAGCGACGGCAGATGGTCCCAGGATTTGCCAGAGGTAATACACATTCAATGCTATGAAGAGTGGGGCAGCCCAGATCCAATGAGTCAAATATGGTAATTCCTGAAATGAAATTTATATTTAAAATGTTATATGTTTTCTTTATTTTTATATGCTATCATCAGTTAAATAATGTTTCTCAAATGCTTAACTTAGCCTACTCCTGTAATAAATATCTCTAATGGTATCTATTTTGTGATTTATTCTTAGATATTATAGGATATTACTGTACCCAGAGACAGGTAAAATGTCTCTGCTGTACCTGAAGCCGTTGTGCATCAACGCTCATCAAGTTGACAATCTCACCAACAGTCGTTCCTTTCCTGGCAGCACTGTTCAGTTTCAGCGACTGAAAAATAGGCTCGTTTGGCTCGATTTTTATCTAACAAGGACCAATCCAATTGGCCAAATACAATGTTCCAAAACAAAGGTTGGCTCACAGGATTCAATCCCGATATTCTGCCACCATTGTTTCACTCCAGAATTTGAAATGCATGTTTTGGTCTTAGTTCAAAACTGAAAATTCCAAATCACGCAAGAAATGATCAAGATATTAGTTCAAATCATTTGGATCGCTGATTATGATGTCATGAATGTCAGAAAATAGGGACATTTTCAATGTTGATATCGATCAGGGTCAAGGTCAAATATCAAGTTGGAACCCTGGGAGCCAATCCTGCTTGGTAAAGAAAGAAATGTTCACTGATCAATTTGACACCATTTCCTTGTACGTCAGATCGATGTTCGGGAAATTGGGGATTGTTTCCTGATGAAGGATTCTCTTTCTGTTTTATAGTTTAGTTTAGTTTTTCATATTATAGTGGTCTGTCTTACATGCAATATATATCAGTAATACAGTGTAATACAATAATATACCCAGTCCACCTTGGGCTTATCAACCACTTTTTACAAAATATAAAAATTAAATTTCAGCAGTAATGCTTTGTTTGTTGAGTGTATATAAGAGAAAGTCATTGATTATAAATATATGGACCTTCTTTTAATAAATGCTTCTTTGATATATTTAACTATCTTACATCTGTGTTCATTGAAAAGAAGTTTCACTTTTTCATGTTTTTCTAAATTATTTAGTTCAAGATTCTGAAAGAATTTTAACCTTATATCATGATATCTAGTACATTGGAATAAAAAATGTGTTTCATTTTCAACCTTGTTTTCATCACATAAAATACAAAGTCTTTCTTCTACACTTTCACCCTTGTATCTACCTGTTTCTATTCTGAGTGGAAGGATGCCTAATCTGAACTGTGAAGTTAAAATACGTTCAAACCTCGAAAAATCCAACATTAGATACTCGTCTGTTTTAAATGTAACATACGTTCTCAACTAGGGTTTTGGTTTTATAGCCTCCGACCATTCTTATATTTAGCTCTCCATCAAACAATTTTCCAGATATTCTAAATTTACAACCTGGTTATCTACACGATCCTTTCTTTGTTAAACGACAATTCCCAAGTGATACAAATCTATTCCACAATCTAACAGCTTCCAGCTTATGAATTAGTTTCAAAGGAAGCCAACCAACATCCCCGTATACACCTATTAATGGGACAAAACGGTGTACCCCTAAAATATATCGCTGAGCTCTATTATGAATATTAATACACGTGGAAAGTGCATGTTTATCATATCCCCATACCCCTGCTGCATAATTCAATACTAATAATACACACGAATTGTACAATTTTGAAAAAGTTTTAAAGCCAAAATCATTATAATACCTCATACCTCATACCGTCGAGTCATGGCACAAAAATGTATTTTGTTTTATAATTGCAATGAAAAGTTAAATGTAGATACAACATGAATACCTTTCTGAAAACGATTGCCATAACACAAGAGCGAAACTTTAGTCCAAGGTGGAAGCCGTAATGGTAATGGTGCATCATAAGAGTCGTCATTAAAGATGAGAGAAACGACAATACCAGGGTAAGAACTACTCCTTGCCAACTGTAAAATACTTCCTCTTCTAGCAGATCCAAAATTATCCTGAAGATGAAAAGTGACATAAAAGGGCCAGGACAGTTGGCAAATAAAACAAACACAATTACGCAATATTGACAGTCCAGGGAGAAAAACATTGGATGACTTATGAAGAAATTTCCTATCAAGAAACATTTCATGATGTATTTTATGATTAATTATGATATGTCTTTTTCATTTGATATCTTACTGTAAGATGATGATGTATTTTATGATTAAATTATGATATGTCTTTTTCATTTGATATCTTACTGTAAGAGTTGTGGCCTGAACATCTGGAAGATAACAACAATCAACATTATGGCTCCACCAACAAAAACATATTCTGCCGAAAACGCCCTAACCAAAACCCATAATAGGTTAGGCTTCTGCCTTGTAGCTGTATCGACATCCGGGGCTGTCATTACGTGAGTCTGTTCGTCCAATAGTGTGTATCCGTTGCTCTGATATGGTTTATTGTGCGTATATTTATACGTTGGTTCTCTGAAATACGTCGAAACGATAAATAGTACAATAACGTCATTTCAAAGGGCAATATAGTGAAATATTGGACCAATATTTCACTATTTTGCCCACAGAAATGACGTTATTACTATTATTACCACCGTTAATGCCCAGGGCTGAAATAGCAAAGGATAGGTATCGATATGCAGAACTGAATTCAACAATGTTTTTCTCTTAAACCAATCATTGAAAACATTCTGTAAAAAACATGATATTTTATGTAATGTTGACTGATTGACAACAATTTAATGCGAAAATTATTTTAAAATATTTTGTATAACTGTTTTTGTTAACATTTTTTGTTTTCTTAGTGCAATTGTTTTTGCTCCTTTCTACCAATTCTTGAGAATGAAATAAAATGTCTTTCCGAACCTTGTTGGAACAAAATAGCATATACAACATGTTTTTGGACCTCTCAATATAAAGTTATACGAAGGAATTTTTGGTTGATTTTAAAAAAGTATTCAAAAAATTAAAACAAAATCCCCCCAAAATAGATAAAAATCAAAAAAAACTTTTATTTCATTAACAAGATACTTTTTTAAAATCAACCAAAATTTCCTTTGTACAATTACAATATTGAGAGACCTAAATATGTTGTGTTTATGTCCTTTTGTTCCAATGAGGTTCGGAAAGATCTTTCATTTCACTCTGGAAACATGATACCAAGAACAAAACAAGTGTTTGATGTGTTTTTAAAACAATATAGATGAAAGTATGTACATCTATTTCAAATTATATTGTTACCATTCAAAAGATGGCCATTAAATTGACAATTTGTAAGATTTTCAGAAATTTTTGATGACTTGTTTAAGAGAAACGAGTGTTCAAAAAGTTCGCCATATCGATACCCATTCTTTGAAATAGAAAATCTTACGCACTGAACGATATCACTTTTCCCGGGAAACATAGCCGGGCGGATAATGTCATTATTGCCCGACTCAAGTCATTAACACCCGACACAATATTGCTCACGTCAATATAGCAATTTAAATGCCTTCTCAACTAGTACTAAAACCCCTAGAACAGGCCCTGCAAGGTGGTAATAATATGCCTTACTTGTATTTGACCGACATCAAGCTATGTAAAGGCTCGACTATTCTTTTATATGGCAAACCTTATAATTGTTTTGATTTTTCTTAGTTCGGCAGCCCAAAACTTCTTGAAACGTGGGACAATGTAGTAACAGCTATCCTCTAGACGCACTGGCCATAAATCTTCGAACTGCAATGGTTTCTTGTATCCTTTGATAATCAAACTGGAACAGTAGATCATACTTTATTAGCTTAATAGTATTAACTAATTATGTATCTAAACCTTTCAAATCCATGAAAATTGCATACCGTGTAAATGAATCTAAAGTAAGATTATATTGCAATGCGATATGCGATATGATACACTCCCCTCCATAAGTTTGGCAACCTTAGCTCCCCCATCGAACTACATGTTAAAGCCTCTTTACCTTTGAATTTTTATTCACTTAGCCTGTGAAGAAAATACTTGTACTATTGATGGAAACGTAATATGACTTTATTTCAAATACCTCCAAATTTTCTCAATTTTTTCCCTCATTTACAATAGGTCGAAATTTGATGATAAATTTGATGAATTTTTGAAAATCGACATTTCCATCAGGAAGTATTTTTATGCTCGTCAAAATCCATTTGCATCCTACGCATCCCTGCATCTTATCCATCTTATTGCAATCTTTATATTTGCACATTTGATGAGATAAACCATTTGTGTAATATATTAATGAAATATAATAGTATAATCTTTGGTTTTACAAACTCGTATGATATTTGATAAGTGTAAAAGTTGTTTTGGAGCATTTTTCTAGAGCCATTTTGTAGGGAAAAAATGATGAAAAATGCACAATCTTTTAATTTATAGTACGACCTGAATCGATTGCAATCTTCATATTTGCAGATTTGATGAGATAAACCATTTGGGTCATATTGTGAAATTATTAAGTTTGCAATCGATTCAGGTCATAGTGTATATTTGGTATTTTTGTGATAATCAATGGAAACCAATGGCCTCTATTGGGATCTGCTGATATCCTCATGTTAAGTCAATGATGCACAGCCCCATGTAAGTCAATACAACCTTACTTAACTAAATGGCCCCTATCTCAGGCTATGTGTGCCCGAGCACTTTAATATTTTTCAAAGAGTTATATGACATTCTATTCTTCATGTTACACCTAAGAATTATTCATTTTGACCATAGGGGTATTTGCCAATAAACGCACGGAAGCTAAGGTTTCCAAACTTATGGAGGGAGTGTATCTCGAAATGTAATGTTCAATAAAGGTTCAACATAACGCTAATTGTAACTCTTTTTATTACCTAGTAAACCACCAGAAAACAAATCTTGAAAATGCAGTTGCAGATCGTTGAGGACATTGTTGCTGTAAGAAAAGGGTCAATTTTATTTATTTATTTCGTATGTTAGTGGTATATATGAGTGCTTCTACCTGTATGTTAATTTTGGTTGCAAAATGAGAGCTACATGTACTTAAAGACGAGCGACGTCTCTTTCTATAAAAAAATCTGTATCACTTTAATTGGAATCCTTGCGAGTTCTGCAGCATATCCAGATCCCTCGGGTAAGGTTTCTTGTACTGGTTTCAACAAAGGGATTTTCTCTTCTTCATTTTCTACCATTCTTTGTTCAGCAACGGTTTTCGCTTTCAAGTCAGGAACAAAGTGATGAGAAGTTCACCAAATGCTAAGACGTAGTATATGCAAAAGAGTATTTCATGAGGAACTTCCCTATCCTGAAACAGTATATTTCGAGAAGTAAGTATCTGACTTGATAGAATTTATTTCAAATGAGTTTTGTGGCAAAAATGATGTCGTTGGTGAGTGCAGTTGTCATTCTCAAAATTAAAGGAGTGAAGAAAGGCAAAACATGTTTTTGTTTGCATTTATCAACAAATGTCATGGCTTTTAATTCATATAAGTAAAGTAATACATGAGTGTCCCAGAAGAACCAGATGGACATTTGTTATCAATAGTCTACAATTGTTGGATATCTACACTTATATTGGTTTAAATTGCATATTAAGCCAATTGAGACACGTTTAACAGTTCTTTGTCAGTTCCTTGATATATCTAGATACAGTCAAACTAATTCTAACCTCTATTTCAGTATTTGAGGCATATGTAAGAAGTCGACCCAGGCCTCCTACACATGCCAGTGACCAATATATCACAAGAACTGAGGACGTGTGCATTCTCTTGCTATATTCGATGTGGGACAGTATCGTTGCTAATAACTGAAAAGGGTTTATCTACAATTTTTACATTACTTTAAAGAAGCTGGCCCAGTTTGCCATAACATGCTCAAGACCCAAAGTGTTTCCATAAACATGATTACATTGAGTCTATGTGTATCGTACTTTTTGTATTGTCTTTCTTGATGTGCAAAAAATGTTGCACATCTAAATAGTTGTATAGTGAGACTGCATAATGTCAAGGGTTGAGGCAGATCCTTTAGTCTTGGCTTATATTGAAGAAATGGTGTTCTATATTGTTTACGATGTTGATTCTAAGTACTCACCGATGTTAGAATTAATAGTATTGAAGCAAGATAAACAGCAACTTCAGTCGGATCACTCGCAAGACGCAACGCAAAATCAACAATCAGTGTTACTGTTATCAAACTCCCTAAAAACTACATCAAAAACAATGTATGAAATAAGTTATATGCTACTGCGCTACTTGATATGATTCATAATAATGTACATATATATTGAGAATGTATTTGACACTTCATTGTTATGTAGTCTCATGATCATATGAAAAAATAAGAGCCAGTTTTCTCTCGCTATGAAAATACAACTTCTTCAAAAATCATGTGACTTGTTTTTCGTATTCTTCTCCCTTCTCGATTTTATCTTTAAAATAAAAAGAATAATTTGATATTCATATCAGCAAGATAATATTCAAATAATACTTTTTGTCTCGAATAAACTACATTCTCCAAAAGTAAATATAAGCTCAGTAGTCCATATTTGTGAGCCTCACTTTGAGATGACGGGGGTTTTTGTTCTTGATCATTTTTAATAGGCACTTCCTTTCACAAGTTCGGCAGGGTACATTGACTTGACTTTATGTGTTTGTATCAAAGCCTTTGAAGGGGACCTTATATAGATAAATAAAAAACGAATACTTACTATTTTGATGAAGTTAATCCAGCTTTTGTCTCTCCATGTGTTAACGGTTGGAAGCCAATTTAAGTAGATGGCAAAGAAGGGAAGGATGAGCCAAAGGTATGCACTGGGAACCCACACTGTCACGGTGTATTGGAAGCATAATGTGAACTCTGGAGTAGTGGTGTTGATGGTCAGATCATTATCCTGAATACAAGATTTGCTTTCATTTGAAAATGTATTGAATATTATCGGACCGAAGTGATAAAATGTTTTTAGGAACAGAATCATATCGATCGATATCTAATACACAGCTGCAGGTAATCATCTGTTGATTATATTCTCCACTGAAAATGAAGGTTTCACTAAATTTTAACAACTGTGATTACCCAGAATGCCCATTTCCGAGAAGAATTTCCGCAGACGGTTGGAAGCCATGTTAGTTCAGAATCCATATTTCAGGTAATCGTTTTGGTTGAATGTTTACCAGCACGCTTCACGTGTGTTCTGTAAAAACAAGTGTTTTATTTTAACTGAAAGGAATCTAATCACCCCGGAATAGCCTGACAACGGTAAAGTCAGATACCGTTGTCACAAATGGCGGACATAACCGTCGCTTCAATTAGATTTTCATAGAGCACGTAGACTAAATTCCTTAGGAACAACAATCAATCAAAGTGTCTTAATACTCATTGTACAGGTAATAATGATCTACCATCGAAATCTTTAATTTAACCGATCAAAATGAGATACGGGACAACGGACTCTGTAATTACCATATGCCGTTGTCTTTCTTAATTACTCAAATTCAGATTCCGTTGTCATTGACGATATCGAAGACGCTATATTTTGGCGATTCAGGACCCAATTTGACCGAAAATGGGATTTTATATGATACATTATCACAAGAGCTTAATGCATTTACTGAATTAGGGACGATAAAATCCCATGAATTGAGGACCAAGTGATTAAACAGTTGAAGCGACGGTTATGTCCGCCATTTGTGACAACGGTATCTGACTTTACCGTAGTCAGGCTATTCCGGTGTGCTAATACTGTTTTACTATATTACTTCAAAGTGGTTCAATTGGTCAACACTAGCTATTGCAAAATGGATGTTTTTGGCCAACCCTATATATATTTGATACATACGATACACATTCTAGTCTAGCTAGATACTAGTATCTGGTATCACATCGATGCTAACATTGTTTACATCAGATACTAACAGAAATGTTAGTATAGATGGATATGTAGAAACTAGACGACGTATAATTACTTGAACCGATGGAAACATCTGATTTACTTAAATTGGTATCCTCACCCTCTCGTTGCACATGCAGAGTACTCCGCGCGTTCAGCGACCAATCGAAATTGATACTGCTCCTTTGTAACTTCACAAATGGTATTTAAATTGTTATTAAAGACACTAGAAGGGGACTTGCGGCTCATATCCAATATTCTATTACTTCTTATTGTTCTGCAAAAACCTACTGTAGTATGTCAATGTGTGCCCGAGATCTAGAATGTCACCTCTTGTGATACCAGTTTTATAAAAAGGGAACATTGATTTGTTATCTCCAAGGTGTATTACAAACGTACCGACTGTTGTGAAATATCTGCACTTCATATAATACTCATTGTCTTTACAGAAGGGCCCTTTAGGTATATGTTATACATGAATATATCATAAACTGACACCTTAAAATGCAAATAAAAGACTGTAACCTTAAATTTGTCCTGTCATTTTGGTTGTCTTTGGCTAACATCGTCATAATGAGTGATTTGTACTCAACATGGCGCCACCACATGATACAGGCATGACAGAGGTGGATCTGAAAATCAAGTGGAGGGGAAATTTTGGACCCAAAGGATAGGTATCGATATGGTGAACTGAATTCAACAATGTTTTTCTCTTAAACCAATTATTGAAAACATTGGATGTAAACATACACGGTCCTTTATGTAATGTTGACCGATTGGCAACAATTTAATGGAAAAATTATTTTTATATATTTTATATAACTGTTTTGTAACATTTTTGTTTTTTAGTGCAATTGTTTTTTGAGAACGATATAAGATGTCTTTCCGAACTTTGTTAGAACAAAATAGCATATACAACATTTTCTAAGACCTCTCAATATTATAGTTATAGAAAGGAAATTTTGGTTGATTTTACAATTAAGTATGCAAAAACTTAAAACGAACCCCCCAAAATAGATAAAAGTTAAGTCCTCTGTTCTAATTACTTATTGTTTTTTAAAATCATATCAAAGTTGTCAATGTAGGTTCCGGAATCAAACAAAAGTAAAGTATTTTCAAAACCATAAAAATGGGACACTCACACATATTCTATGTCAAAGAGCAGATATAAACCAAATGTCATGAAAATTAGGCAGTATGTTTGAACAATTCTTTTCATATGTATGTAAAATTTAGCGAGCTCTAACAAATAATTTGACAGCAAAACATGCAACATATAAAAACGAGATAATAAAAATCAATACAAGCCATTTGACCAGTATACATCAAGATATAAAGTATGTAAAATTATAAAGCCCATGATGTTTTGGGCAGTGTATGTAATATCAATAATGTATAAATCTTTAGAAAACCGGCTGAGCACTCCGCCCATTTGGAGTGGTGCCGAAGAAGCACAGTGACGAAGTTTAATTTCTGATGAGTTTATTGTGATAATATATGGACAGTTAACAGATCCAAATACACGAAGAAATGCCATCGTTAGCGTTAAAATAATTAAAAAACATATTATTTATATAAATGAAAATTTAATAAAAATAAGCCTCATTTTCCTTGCCGGGATTGAACCAGGGACCTTTAGATTCCTGGCGTATCAAGGATAGCAGCCGCTTCAGTCTAACGCTCTCCCAACTGAGCTATTTCGGCGGTGGCTCAAACGTCATTGTTTATAGCTTTAATTGAAAGTGGTTCAAGATACAATCGATGTGTAAAAATGATCATCCCCGATTATGTATCAGTTTAAACAGAGACCTAAAATGATGTACAATAAAAGTCTATACCCTTTAAACTGAAATGACCATGCCATAATTTTGCTTCGATCAAACAGAAAAGTTGGTGTCCCCTACATTGCTCCATTATGTTAGGAAACTAAAATGGAGAGTATGGGATTAGGAGACTGTCCCTGGGTGGGAAGCTGTATTATCTCAAAAACTGAATGACAGGATTGTTAAATATTTTGCACATTGGAAAGTTTAATAACTAAAGTTGATCTTAGGAAAATAAAAATAAGAGGTCACCGACTTCGTTTTTATTAATTGCTTTTCAAAAAGATACAATTTTTCAATCAAATTATGTATCAAGCTAATAATGTATTATATGTTATCAGATTGTATTAAAGGTTTTTAAATCAGTAATGTATATAAAATATTCCAAAGGAATGCTATTTTAGTGTTCTTAATTTAATATTTGTTTTATCAGCATATATGTATAGCTCGATGCACATTTGCATGCAAAAGAGGGCAACTGAAAGTTTAGGTCGAAATAAATAAGTAGATAAATAAATATATATTATATGATTTATGTTATTATAATATTAGATATTTTATTTTTCGTTTGCTGAACCTATCATTCAGTATTATATGTATCTAGAGGGTTGGGTAAAGAGACAGGACTGCAGATCGCAGGATATACACCTGGTTCAAAAATACGAGTGCATTAATCAGTCTACCGGAAGATATTTCAGTGACACTCTATATCTATAAGCATCAGATTTCAACATCCTCCTAAGCAGGTATCCAGAATCCGTACCTCCTTCTTCCCCCGTAAAAAGGAAGAATATATTCTGGATTTTGAACCCCTGTGATCGGAGGATGGATTTCAAGGACTCCGAGAAATGAGGTTCAGGAATAACAGTCGCTTAATTATTTATTTCACATAATATAAAATTATTTTAAGTGTATGTTTAGATACACAGAAATGTTTCACCACCATTTATTGGTAAATTGACGTATGATAACGATGACAATCGAGCACAAGCAAACAACAAACCAACACAACACAACATAGCCAACGAGACTAAACTCAAATCAACCCAACACAACACAACCTGACACCAACCACCGCAACAGAGTCAGTCACAACCCAATACTGAATCAATTAAACTACACTATTAAATACAATCGGGCACAACTTGCAAACACAACCAAACTATGATACCAATTTACTGAGTACCCAACTAACTGTCTCCAACTGGAGACAATCCCAAAACAAAACCAAATCGGGGACAACCCATACCCCCCTTATTAGGCTGCTGATGAAGAACATATCATGGGGCACCAACCATGAGTTCGAAACATCTTGGGTCCTTACTGTGACTTACAAGTAAGGGAGAAGATCCACTACTGGATCGGGATGTCCGGCCTTTCACTACAAAAATGACACGAGGAGTGACACCACCAATGTCATCACCCTAGGATCAACTAAATATACTCTACCTGTCACATAATCACTGACGGTGGTTCGGGGAAGCTTAGACACTAGACTAGGCTATGTCTCCCAGGTCCCCCAAACGAGACCGCTCACCATATTTGACACAGATTGCATGATTTGAAGCGTGTTCACAACGGGTGATGTCTCAAGACATGGTCTAAGTCACCACTCCCCAAACGCCGATCGCGATTCATCGTAGATATTTGCTTATTTGTGATTATGATGGCATTTTCTGAAGAACTCCTTTGTCCAACACAAATAGCTCACATTTTCCAGGTATAAATTCTAAAGCATTAATGTAACCCTTTTTAGGACCTGGATATCGGAGTTCACTAGGGGAAAGTGAGGTTAGTCTACTCGTTCTCGTGTCAAAGCGGTGGGTAAAATAAGTGGGACTGCTATACGAGTTAAGAATATATAGCATTCCGTTAGCCATGAATGAATTTCCACTTCCCGTTTTCTTTACATTGAGCTGCCATGTTTTAACAATGACCAATGTATCGATGTCCAAATGTGCAATTGTTTCCACCATTTTGTTTTAAACCATATATGAATGGTATTCCGGTACTACCAACACTCACATCTTTTGATTCATCTTCATATATCTATATAGAAATGGTAAAAAGAGAGTAGTATGCTACAGTAATTGATGCTCTGATGTTTAGAATGTGGGTCATACAAGAACTAAACAATACAAAATTAAACCCTTATAAACATTTTCATTTATTTATATAATAGTACTGATCAGTATGATATTTATTGCACTTCTCTTGAGCTTTACTTATAAAATATGATCATATTTGTATTGTACTCATTCTGTCCAGGACGTATATCGCATATATATCATATCATATCATACCATGTCATAATCTTAATATAAGCGTCTTGTTAAATGCCGAGTGTCTCTTTCCATCAGAAGATATCATTGATGATATAAAATACGATCATATCTTCTTCACGGTGTTCAGTTAAAGGAGGCCGGCGTCTCTGGCCATGCTATAGAAAACGCCGTTCTTATTTGAGAGAAGTTGAGATGGACTATCATATTCAACAACCTTTCCTGCATCCAACAGCATCACTCTGAAAATGCACAAAAATCTTTAATATGAAAGGACAATATATTTACACAACAGCCAAGTTTGAATATTGAATTTATATTAATGGGCAATATATCTACATAACAGCCAAGTTTGAATATTGAATTATATTAATGGGCAATATATTAACACAACAGCCAAGTTTGAATATTGAATTTATATTAATGGGCAATATATTAACACAACAGCCAAGTTTAAATATTGAATTTATATCGATGGGCAATATATTTACATAACAGCCGAGTTTGAATATTGAATTTATATTAATGGGCAATATATTAACACAACAGCCAAGTTTAAATATTGAATTTATATCGATGGGCAATATATTTACATAACAGCCAAGTTTAAATATTGAATTTATATCGATGGGCAATATATCTACATAACAGCCAAGTTTGAATATTGAATTTATATTAATGGGCAATATATTTACACAACAGCCAAGTTTGAATATTGAATTTGAATATAGGTAGTCAAATTTGAACACCAATATGGTCAATGAAACACTATTTTCAAGCATTCGTAATATTAAGTTCTTTATGGATATTTTTAATGTATTTCTATAACAATCGAGTTATCCTCAATTGTTTACGATGGTTGCTAAAAGGGTACGTTTATTTTACGTAAATCATTGTATACAAATACATCTCCAATCGCCCAAGAACATTTGTGTGGGAGACAGCTGTAAGTAATACTATGGAATTATGCCAACGAGTTCAAATGTCAATGTGAGAAAGCACAATCATCAATGTTTGAGTAACAAAATATAATATGTGCAGTCATAATTGGCTATTTTATGATACCATTTCAATTTGGCAGTATAAGTCAAAACGTCATTTGAGTAGCAGTTAAATTTTCAAATGGGGATAAGACATTAAGACAATCTATTGCATAGTAGAAAGAAAATAATTTTTACTTCTGAATAGTCTATTTTCTAAAACATGCTACAGCTTTATCAACGTATACACACCTATCATAATCCATTATGGTATTTAACCTATGTGCTATAGTGAGAACAGTACAATCTTTAAATGCTGTTCGAATCGTGTTCTGTATTAGGTCATCGGTCTCAAGATCAACTGCTGCTGTCGCTTCATCCATAACGAGAATCTTGGACTTTCTCAGCAAGGCTCGTGCCAGACATAAAAGCTGTCGCTGTCCAACGCTAAAAGTAACGATAATGAATTGTGTACGTTTGTTCGTTTGTATGTTATAATTTTTGGACTCTCCATCTTACCGCAGAAGCAGACGACTATGCCTCAGTCACATTTGATCTACGGTAATCGTGCGTCGGCCGTAGTACGAGTGTAATTTTGTGAAACTACGGCCACCCGCCGTAGAGCAATCTGACTAAGGCTTAATAAGGTGCGACAGCAAGGTTAGGTTCTTTTTCCAGAAATGTCCTAATCGTACAAATCTACGACATTTCTGGGAACAGTCACCCGGTGAAATATTCTCCTTATACAAGTGCAGATGAAGCCTACCTTAAATTCTCCCCCTCTTCTCCACATTCATGGTCGAGTCCAAGCGTAAGAGAGTGGATAAAATCTTTAAGGTGAGCATGCTCCAGGGCTTGCCATATTGCCCTATCTGTGTATTCTTCTGATGGGTCGACGTTCATGCGGAGAGTCCCAGAGAACAAAACAGGGTCCTAGATAAACATGAAATTATGATATGATATAGGTATAAAAGTACAATAAATGATAAAGAGGTATGAATTAAATGAATTAAAAAGGGCATCGGAAGATTTAACAAATGAAAATGATTTTTTAAATTTAGATGCTCGAGGTCATCATAAAATGAAACTCGTGTCAGTTGACAACTAACCTGCGGAATAATTGTCAGTTTTGATCTGAGGTCATGAAGTCCTAGATCAGATGTTTTAACCCCATCAATATAGATGGCCCCAGCAGCTGCTTCGATTATGCGGAACAGTGATAACGTCAGAGATGATTTACCAGCTCCAGTTCGTCCCACTATTCCCACCTAAAAATAATTGGTTTATAATTTCAAAATCTTAGGATAATAATAAAACGAATGCTCTCTACTCTAGGATAGGATCTACCTGCGAAATACCTACCTTTTCACTTGGTTTCACACTGAATGAAACTCCTTTAAGTACAAGGTCTAAGCCCTTCCTATAACGTGTGCTATATTCCTTATATTCTACAGTACCCTCTGTGGGCCAACCGATTGGGAGTATTCTGTCCGATCTCCAATCGGCTTCATTCTCTGTGTCACAATACTCCTTGATTCGTTCCACACTGACGATATATGTCTCTAACTCGCACGAATTTCTCACCCATAAAATTAGATTCAACGTTATCTGAAACAAGAAGAAAGTACTGTTAATTTGTGTATTCTTCTAATGTCGCCTCAATATCATGCAATGTCCATTTCTGCCACCTCCCATACTTACCCTTAAAGCGTAAGACAACGACAGGCCAGCCAAACCTGCATTGATTGTGTTTTTCTCTACCACTGCAAAAATACCCGCCAACAAGATGACCATGTTGCCCAATACACCCAAATATGTGCCAATCCACCTTTGGATAAATATAACATTCATAAAAATTCATCTCTATTGCGAGCGCCTGGAAGATCATCGTTGTAGATATTAAAATATTGTAATGTATGTTATAACTAGTTTTGTTTTATACAGCAACACTCTTAAAAATGAATTACTTGATAATTTCCCAAGTATAAAAATTACTTAAAGTTAAATACTTAGTTTTACTTCATTTTACTTAGGTTTAACTTATATTGTCATTTTGAGTTTTTTAATTGCTTAATTATGTAAATGAGCATTACAATTACTACAGTAAGTATTTCAATTTCTCTCCTTGCATTAGTAAATTCACCATAAATGAATTACTTAAAAATTACTTAAAAATTATTCAGTAGTTCAAGATTATTTAAGTAATTTTTGACTTAAAATTAGCAGTACAATTTCTCAATATAAGGAAATCCAAGTAATAATTTTAAAGAGTGAACCCATGTGTTTTTCCTCGGTACGACCAAAATCCTATCCTTTCTGATGTTACTTTATGAAGTCATGAAAATAACAGCGCGCAAAATACGCTTACCTGTATGATGCAATTACTGGAAACCAAGTTCGTTGACTATTGTCCAACAATTTCTCAGATTTTATCACAAAATCCTCGGAACGATTGTATGCACGGATCGAACTAACTCCTGTCAACGTCTCACTAAAATGTGAGAATATCGGGGACCTTCTGACAGATTCAATCCGTTTTAGTTGCCTCGCAGTATTTGTGTATAATCTCTATAACAAATGCCATGAAACTGTAGATGAATTAAATTATATTATTTAATTTAGCTCATAATTTTACTTCAGTCATAAGAAGTGTATCTTTATAATAGACTGGCTATAATATTGTAGAGATATAAAAATGAATATAGACATGTAATTACTAATTATTAAACAAACCCAAAACAAGGTCGTTTTGAAAACATGTTGACCATTCTCAATTTCAATTTTCAATTTTCAGTTGTAATTGCACAAAGGAAATAAATGAATAAGAAAATAGAAGAATATTAAAGATGGCTGATTTGGCTTGTCTCAGAAATGCATGATCTACTACTCATACGAATATGACATATATCACAAGATCTGGTTTATTATTTGAATATTCACCCAAAAATGAGAAACACAATGCGAGAATAGCGTACATATTGCCTACCTGAACGACAACAAAGAAGATACAGAGTGGCAAAAGAGCAATAAGAAAGAGAGGGGTACTGTATGAGATGGCGACAATTGTAGCGATCATAGGGCCAACGCTAGCCAACCAGCCCATGATGTATTGCGGCAGTGTAATATCAACAATGTCCAAATCTTTAGAAAACCGGTTAAGCACTCTGCCCATGGGAGTAGTGTCGAAGAAGCTCATTGGACAGCGGAGGATGTTTTTAACGAGTTTGTTGTGAAGAAACCTAGAGGCGCTGACAAACCCAAGTGCACGAGAAAATGCCATCGACAAAGTTGAAATAACTGGAAATACATACATAATCAGAGCTGAGTCGAAAATAAAATTTCTAAGCCATTTTTCCTTGCAGAAATCCGGTGTGAAAGAAATGATGGTCCTCCCCCAGGGATTATGGTCCCTTTCTTAACGGCCCTTACTGGCCCTGATTGTGTATAAGATAATGAGGAAAAGAGTTGTATTGAGGTAAAATATAAATCAATGGAGAGTTGGACCATAATTTGATAGGACCTCCCACCCTTTTACACCGGGGACTGCAGTGACCTATAGATTCCTGGTGAAGCAAGGAAATCAGCCGCAACAGTTTCTGTACTTTCAACGGAAGAATTGTGCACATTTGTTTCGATAATCTATATTAACTCATCATATCAAGCTAAATAGTATATTGTAAATATTATATTACTGCTGAATAGAAAATAAAGAAAAATGAATTCTGCCTACAACTCGTGAAGAAAAATTGTACCATCGAGTTTCCGACGAAAGGGATCCGTTTCGGAAACTACTTTTAAAAAGTCCCAGAGGTGGGGGACAAATCGGAATACCATTGATAGCGTTGGAATAACTGAAATGTCATCAGAGTTATGCGAAAATAAAAAAATTAAGCCATGTTCCTTGCCGAAACCCGGGATTGAACCAGGGACCTTTAGATTCCTGGCGTATCAAGGATGTCACCCGCTTCAGTCTAACGCTCTCCCAACTGAGCTATTTCGGCGGTGGCTTATTAACTAAGTTTCTGGTGTAAACTTGATAACGTGAATTAAACTACAATCGATATTCAAAAATCAAATTGAACTTAAAGATATGCTATACAGATATGTAGGTCAGTATTACATAATCGTGAAATGAATAAGTCTGAATATATCATTGGTCAGAAAACACTAAAACCTGCTTGAAACTGTAAAAGTTTATACACTCTATTCCACACTGTATAGAAATAAAATAACTTACACTATAAGTAACTGTGAGCCAATCATTGCATAGAAAAAACTTTATGCACTGTTTATAAGATTCACTGAGACAAGTGGGTCAATACTTCATGTACTTTATGTGCTCTCACACAATTACCTTCCCTTGCATAAAGTTGCTGTACAGTTATATGTAACGGAATATTGTATATTCATCACAAACAACCTTAGCAAAATGATGTTTCCACGAAATGGACGGTTCGCTAAAACCAATAAACCAGGCAATCCAGGCCAATTTGGAAAGAAACTAGATAGCGTGATAGCGAATGAGGATAGTAAGTGAAATATATTTTGCAAAGGTCAGCTTGTAAACTACTGGGTAACCCTAAATGATGAGAAATATGTACAAAATATGTTTTGCATGATTTATTCATATCCCAATGATTTAACTCCTTCACTGCATCTAATAAGGTATATAGATACTAATTACGGGACATTTAGGAATTAAGTGACTAGACCAAAGCAAGCATGTTTGAGATTATAATGATTTTAAATAAATTACCACTTCATTATTTGTTTTTAGACATTCAATCAGTTTTATTTGTCCAACAAACCATATTCACAATTGTTCAATCCAACGAAGATTAGGGGATAAGCTATAGAGACCCCTCCATTTATCCGTCCATCCATCCTTCAACTAGACAACAGCAACACCAAAGTGTAGCAAATCACATCGAACAGCCATAGCTGGCATTTTTACAAACAAAGTATACAGCAAAATTTTTTATCTCCATCGAAAAATAGTTCAATTCTTTGAAGCAAATGATTCTAAAAGTACAACATATCTTTGAAAAAATATCATTCTGTTAAGTGAAATTGTAAAAAATATTTTGCAATGTGTGAAATTGAATTAAAGCACATGATTCAATGCACAGTGGATGCTTCAATCCACTTATGTCTTCTAGTCTAGGCTTTGAATTCGGACTACCACCCTCGTTCATAGTCTAGAATCAGGACATATGTTAAATTTAATCATCTACAATGCATTGAGTCATTGGCTTAAATCCTATAATATAATATGCCTATCAATATAATATGTAATTATTTAAGTATCAACTCAATGCTTTAATTTTAAAAGAATTATTTTAATATTTTACTAACTGTATAATATGTAGTTTGCATTACTGTTGATAAATAAATAAATGATTGCACTGTTCAGTAAAGAAATAAAGCAATTGTATTATTTAAACTGACTATACACTATAGAAATGATTTTCTTTGAAAAATCAAATCAGTACCAAAATTATGGTTACCCTGTAGTAGTGAAAGGCACATTAAAAATGAATATCACCCCCTTCAATCTATTTTTACAGGATTTTATGATTATTTCAGATTTTTCTATAGTTTGCGTAACCAGGACGGTGAATTTTCTTCATTTTTCATCAAACATTTTGTCTTACCAATATTTATTATATCTGTCAATTTTATCAAAATCGCGCCGCTACGTTTGAAAATAATTCAAATTATGTAGTTTTTCCCATTGAGCTCCATTATAAAAATGGAATTTTCAAACTTAATATTTTAAAATTCTACGCGGTGAAAAGTTGCATATTGAGGAGTTAATTAATGTTATGGTGTTAAAAATTCAAAACAAAAAGGAATAAAGAAAAATTGCCACAGAGAAGTCTCAATAGAGTCTCTTTAAGCAATGTTATTTGACAACTCCTGTTGGTGAGACCGCAGATAAACCTGAGCAATAAAAAAAAAACGAGGAAAAACGAGGCAATTCGCCGAATTTACCATATGAAAGGTGGGCGTAAAGATTCAAATTCCAATATACCATCTGTTATCTTTGTTCAAAAAAATTCTAAAAATGAAATGATTTATTCGATTTCTTAGTTTGACAATACACCTACTTTGGACAAGTCCTAAAACCCCATATACAGCCAGGCGATAATCTGTATCCTGTTTAGGTCTTGTTCCATTCACCAATGGATCGGCGGTCCATGCACTTAGCCAAACATTCGCATATACCTGTGAGCCAGTGTACACCAACACTGATAGACACACCCAGAAGAAACACAGATAACCACCACCATAAACGTATGTTTTGATAACTTTAAGGCCGATCTGAAATAATTGTTAAATTTGGTTAAACGTAATGACGTAATGAGATGGTATATGATTAATGCTTAAATGATGACACAGGGCCCTGGCGAATCTGGGGGTGGGGGGGGGGGGAGGGTGAAGTTGGGCTTGGCTCCTTTCCCATACTTGAGAGCTGTATTTATTTTTCTAAAATTGGCCTTTTCAAGTCAGCATATTTTCCCAATTTCTCTAAATTGCATACTTCTATCAATGCCTGAATTTTTTAAATAAGGGGCCAGAATTTTCAAAAGCCCCGTTATTCGAAAGGGTAAATAGATAATCTTTGTACTCACACTTCCTTCTTCTGATGTTTCATCCTCTATAAGTTTGTTGGCCACTTTCATTTGCTTATCAATGTTCTCTTTTTCTAACTCAATTGACTTTGAAAGGGTAATCGATTTCTTTCTTCGCCTACCAAATCATACAAGTACATGAAACACATTGACAATCACACCATTCTCGTATCATATACTTACGAATTAAACAAAATTCATGAAATAATTTCATAAAAGAAATAACTACTAATACAATTCTTGGGAAAGAATGGGTATCGATATGACGAACTGAATTGAACACATGTTTCTCTTAAACGAGATATCAAATATTTTTTTTTGTTCTCGGAACCATATGTTCGGAATGAAATGGAACATCTCTCAATATTGTAATTGTACAAAGGAAAGTTTGGTTATTTTAAAAAAGTAACTTGTTTATGAAATAAAATTAGTTTTACTTTAATTTTTATTTATTTAAACGTACTTTCCTTTGTATAACTATGATATTGAGAGGTCTAAGAAAATGTTGTATGTGCTATTTTGTTCCAACAAAGCAAAACCATAATATTAAACATATATAAATAATTTAAATTAAATTGTTGTCATTCAGTGACATCAAAAATAGGTTTGAGAGAAAAACAATGTTGGATTCGGTTCGCCATATCGATACCAATCCTTTCCAATGAAAGTATGATGATACTGCGACAAAATCTCTGATTATAAAATATCAAATAGAAATACCGTCTGCGAATCTGCTGGCCTTCGGAATATTCACCCTCGCTCGTCATAGTTGCAGCGGTATCATCGGCACTGAGGCCAGAGAAGCCCGACATAGAGGTGAGTCTTTGTCGTAATTCGTTGATATGCGCAACACCTGGATTGACGTTTTTGCAATTATTAACTTGGACATAAAACTATACAACTATTCTTACAGTGATTAAATGGACCAAGGCCCTCTGGCCAAAACCCCAAATTCTGCCAAAATCGTGCATCATTTTCAACATTTTCACCATTCTGAGTTCTGGGCTAGAGATTGTGAACCCCTCTTTGAAGTGGGACCATTTGGTAATTTACGGTTCTAGCAACATCACATTTCAAAAGTTATGAAAAATATCATCCAATATTAATTAAAAGAATAAAACATATTATTACTCTCAGCATCACTTTCGCTTTCACTTTCATCCTCGTGCTCATTTAGGTATGTTCGAATAAACTCCGCAAATGCGCCATTATGACTCAGCAGTTCCTCATAGGTGCCCATCTCACTTATATTTCCATTTTTCAGAACAATGATCTTGTCAACTTTAGGCAGATAGTTCACTCCATGGGTAACTAAGACTCTTGTCTGGAATAGACATGTATGTGGGTATAAAAAAATTTCTGCGTTCCCACTAGTACACTAATAGCATTTATGATTTAATTGTGTTAAGTGCACAACCAATTTTACATATCATGAAATTATGACGTGGATTTATTTTACCTTCCCAGCTAGAATTCCTGTTGAGCCTATAACTTGCTGAAAGATGTGTTTTCCAACATGGGCATCAACTGCACTCAATGGGTCATCAAGAAGATAGATATCACAGTCCTGGTACACTGACCTTGCTAATGACACCCTTTGTTTTTGTCCACCACTTAGATTTATACCCTAGAACAAAATATCTGTTAACGTCTACATATATCATTGAACTCGCTCCTTGTGAATTGATGACCTTTAGGTATTTCTAATAATTTCATAATCCTTTTGGTAACCAAAGCAACTAGGGAAAATAGGTTGCACCAGGATATAATCGTGAGTATACATTCATATTAAATTAGATAATAAATATTATACTTTACAGAACTATCCATTTACTCAATTAGAATTTTTGCAATTGACAAAATCTAACTACATATTTACCCTGGCACTGTAAATATGACATCATTGTCAATAAAATAATGAAAAAAGTGATTGCACCATTTATTTTATTGGTCTATTTAGTACTAATGCTGGTACAAAATTCCGAAGAATTCTGGATCTTAGAGCCCTGCGATCAGAGGATGATCGTTTAGTACCTTTTCACCAATTTCTGTCTGGTCACCCCCGGGAAGAATTTTCAGATCTTGTTCTAATGCGCATGCCTGGATCACCTTTTTGTATAGCCGTTCGCTTTTTTCTTTGCCAAATATGATATTTTCCTTGAGAGTTGAAAATTGTATCCACGCCTGCTGTGGCACGTACGCAATTTTCCCCTGTAAAATTAATTATTAATTAAAATATTTTTAAATATCAAATGAAGTAAACAGGTGTGGACTGTTTTTAATTAAAGTAAACACTCATTTGGGAGAATCATTGTAATTGCAAAATCATAGTATTTGAAAAGAAAAATACTCGAAGTACCTTAACGTCCACAGATCCGTCAGTTTTGACCATATCCCCTAACATGGCAGATACCAAGCTAGACTTTCCCGATCCAACCTGACCGACCACAGCAACAATGCCACCTTGTTTCACACTCATATTTATGCTGAAAAGAAATACATGCATCAGTTCATGTTTCTGTGACATTATATAAACTAAAAATGGAAAATTAGACATCGTAAGTATGCGCAATTAAACCTGTGCCTCGTGAAATACAGACATTGCCTGGCAAAATATTAAATGTGTATTTTGCGCAACAAATTGAATAATCTGTGTTGATGAGCTTTTGTAATATATTATATTGATACAAATAAATTGAGAAAATAATAAAAAAAATCTGTGTTTATTTGTAAGAAAAAGTAGAGCGAGAAAACATTTAGAGTGGGAGTACTTGAAGAAAACGTTATAAAATAAGATGATGCATTTTCCCAGAAATTAAAAAAAACTATACACCATGTTAAAACCCCCTTTTAAACAAGGATTACCAATGCTACAGTTTTGATAAGAAATGTTTTAAATCACAGTAGTCGTCAAACAGAGGCCATTCAAGTACAACCTATTTACTATGGGCTGTAAGTTTATTCTATCAATTTATTTCGAAATGGTATATGACATATTTACCATTAAATAGTTTTGTGACAACATGTATTTTCCTCGGAGATAATATGGATTGGCTAAACTAATTATACAAGCAAACAGTTCCATAATCTAATTAAATCAAATTTAATCTGTATCGTTCGATTTAAATGAATTACTACATGTATATTACTTTTTCAGAGTTGCTGCCTCATTTCTGTCCCACGTGAACTCTCCTTTACGGATACTGATAGCGTCACCTGGCGGAGGGTTGTGTGTAACTGCTGACTCGTCTATTTCATCCAATAGTAGAAAGTTAGTAATCCTGTCTATTGAAACTAGTGCCTTGAATGAAAGTCAGGAACGTAGATCAACGGTAATAGACTATAATTGGGTTTTAGTGATTATAATGAGCAACACGCGCATCTTGAGAAATCCTCACCTTCTTTCACTTCCTTTCTCAGAGTATCATAATTTCATATTTCGTTGATGTAGGTGAGATTCATAAATATTTCTACTGATGAGATTTCGATTTCTAGTTCTTAATTTATTGAGGTTTTTGGTATTATCTGATGACTAACCTGAACTAAACTAGTGATGGCATTGGGTAAAGTTGACATAGGAGTATTCAGTGTATTTATATAAGACAATGACACGAACGCCTTCTGTGCATCCAGAACATTGTTAGGATCGATGTAGACGAACATAGCGAAACATACAAATGACACCTGAAACGACATTCATCCGTCTTCACATGCATTCTGATACTCATAGCATCTTTCTGTTTCACCTGAAATATCTCAGGGCTGAGAAGAAATGAGATAGCATGGTTTATCATGATGCTATACATCTACATTTGATACATTGCTTTGAGATTTAACAGTTGAGAATATAAAAGTTCCATTAATCTATGAAAACGTTGGTTAGGGGGTTTCATGCAGATTTCCTGCAGGTTCCACAAGGTAACATCCAACGAGATGCCTTGAAATATATAGTGAGCGTTGGAGAAGCCTACACGAAAGTTCGAGACAAAATTTTAAGATGTCCTATTGATACGTCGCCTAGTAATATTAATGATTTAATAAATGATCAAATCGTAAGAGTACGAACCAAATATGGAGTGCAGAACCACGTGACTGCACTCATAGCGTTCAGGAACTGTATTTTCTTCAATATGCCCAATTCTAGTTCTCGTATCTTAGCAATCTCTTTATCAAAAGAGGTTTCCCATGCATACAGTTTTAGTACCTATATGAAAAAGACAAAATTGAATGTTTTGGTGCTGGTCATTGCCTGGCCATTTTGTTGAACTGAACATGAATTTCGTTAATTGTTACAATGATAATTCATGGTTCTCGTTTGAAAATACATGCTTATATTTTCTAATATTCGTAAAATAGGTTTATTTTTAAAATTACCTTTATCCCACTCAGAACTTCATTGGTCAATTTTATCCTCCTGTCTTTGTACAACATTTGATCCACCTGGAACATATTTTACAACGACTCCTATGAATGAAATTGTACCACTCATTAACGGTATATTTTCTTTTTCCTCGCGTTATCATAATCTATCATAATTGAGGAAACGATTAACTTCAAAGGTGAAATAAATGATCCAATTGTCCATGGTTCCAATACACCATTTGAAAGGAGATTGTCACGAGCCTAACTAATCTGAAAAAAATCTGATAAGAAAAAGTGATTTCAAATTTTAAGTTTTACTAATACAGGAATTTATGAATAAAAAATGAAGTATCCAACTAAATATACGAGTTAAAATTGATTTGCCATCTAGAATAAATAAAAACTCATGTCATTTTTCTATATTTAATTTGATGCCAATTTTTGTGTATCTCAATTTCGTAAACCACGAATTTAAAAATGTATATGTTACATCAAAACACTAACCTGAAGAGCTTTTACTCTTTTGGCAAAATAGAGTACATTTGAAGGCGTCACAACCCCCATAAGTACGAGCCCAGCGACGGCAGATGGTCCCAGGATTTGCCAGAGGTAATACACATTCAATGCTATGAAGAGTGGGGCAGCCCAGATCCAATGAGTCAAATATGGTAATTCCTGAAATTAAATTTATATTTAAAATGTTATATGTTTTCTTTATTTTTATATGCTATCATCAGTTAAATAATGTTACTCAAATGCTTAACTTAGCCTACTCCTGTAATAAATACCTCTAATGGTATTTATTTTGTGATTTATTCTTAGATATTATAGGATATTACTGTACCCAGAGACAGGTAAAATGTCTCTGCTGTACCTGAAGCCGTTGTGCATCAACGCTCATCAAGTTGACAATCTCACCAACAGTCGTTCCTTTCCTGGCAGCACTGTTCAGTTTCATCGACTGAAAAATAGGCTCGTTTGGCTCGATTTTTATCTAACAAGGACCAATCCAATTGGCCAAAAACAATGTTCCAAAACAAAGATTGGCTCACAGGATTCAATCCCGATATTCTGCCACCATTTTTTCACTCCAGAATTTGAAATGCATGTTTTGGTCTTAGTTCAAAACTGAAAATTCCAAATCACGCAAGAAATGATCAAGATATTAGTTCAAATCATTTGGATCGCTGATTATGATGTCATGATTATGTTATAATGTCAGAAAATAAGGACATTTTCAATGTTGATATCGATCAGGGTCAAGGTCAAATATCAAGTTGGAACCCTGGGAGCCAATCCTGCTTGGTAAAGAAAGAAATGTTCACTGATCAATTTGACACAATTTCCTTGTACATCAGATCGATGTTCGGGAAATTTGGGATTGTTTCCTGATGAAGGATTCTCTTTCTGTTTTATAGTTTAGTTTAGTTTTTCATATTATAGTGGTCTGTCTGACATGCAATAATACAGTGTAATACAATAATATACCCAGTCCACCTTGGGCTTATCAACCACTTATTACAAAATATAAAAATTAAATTTCAGCAGTAATGCTTTGTTTGTTGAGTGTATATAAGAGAAAGTCATTGATTATAAATATATGGACCTTCTTTTAATAAATGCTTCTTTGATATATTTAACTATCTTACATCTGTGTTCATTGAAAAGAAGTTTCACTTTTTCATGTTTTTCTAAATTATTTAGGTCAAGATTCTGAAAGAATTTTAACCGTATATCATGATATCTAGTACATTGGAATAAAAAATGTGTTTCATTTTCAACCTTGTTTCCATCACATAAAATACAAAGTCTTTCTTCTATACTTTCACCCTTGTATCTACCGGTTTCTATTCTGAGTGGAAGGATGCCTAATCTGAACTGTGAAGTTAAAATACGTTCAAACCTCGAAAAATCCAACATTAGATACTCGTCTGTTTTAAATGTAACATACGTTCTCAACTAGGGTTTTGGTTTTATAGCCTCTGACCATTCTTATATTTAGGTCTCCATCAAACAATTTTCCAGATATTTTAAATTTACAACCTGGTTATCTACACGATCCTGTTCCATGTCCACTGATAAAATATAAAATATCTCTAATATTATTTATCCATATATACTAATAGTATTATTCTTTTTACTCCAAATAAAACTTTCTTTGTTAAACGATCATTATCAAGTTATACAAATCTATTCCACAATCTAACAGCTTCCAGCTTATGAATTACGTTCAAAGGAAGCCAACCAACATCCCCGTATACACCTATTAATGGGACAAAACGGTGTACCCCTAAAACATATCGCTGAGCTCTATTATGAATATTAATACATGTGGAAAGTGCATGTTTATCATATCCCCATACCCCTGCTGCATAATTCAATACTAATAATACACACGAATTGTACAATTTTGAAAAAGTTTTAAAGCCAAAATCATTATAATACCTTATACCTCATACCGTCGAGTCATGGCACAAAAATGTATTTTGTTTTATAATTGCAATGAAAAGTTAAATGTAGATACAACATGAATACCTTTCTGAAAACGATTGCCATAACACAAGAGCGAAACTTTAGTCCAAGGTGGAAGCCGTAATGGTAATGGTGCATCATAAGAGTCGTCATTAAAGATGAGAGAAACGACAATACTAGGGTAAGAACTACTCCTTGCCAACTGTAAAATACTTCCTCTTCTAGCAGATCCAAAATTATCCTGAAGATGAAAAGTAACATAAAAGGGCCAGGACAGTTGGCAGATAAAACAAACACAATTACGCAATATTGACAGTCCAGGAAGAAAAACATTGGATGACTTATGAAGAAATTTCCTATCAAGAAACATTTCATGATGTATTTTATGATTAAATTATGATATGTCTTTTTCATTTGATATCTTACTGTAAGAGTTGTGGCCTGAACATCTGGAAGATAACAACAATCAACATTATGGCTCCACCAACAAAAACATATTCTGCCGAAAACGCCCTAACCAAAACCCATAATAGGTTAGGCTTCTCCCTTGTAGCTGTATCGACATCCGGGGCTGTCATTACGTGAGTCTGTTCGTCCAATGGGGTGTATCCGTTGCTCTGATATGATTTATTGTGGCTATATTTATACGTTGGTTCTCTGAAATAAGTCCAAACGATTAATACACCTTACTTGTATTTGACCGACTTCAAGATATAGTATCGCATAGCTACGATTCAATTTCAAAAATGAAAAGGCTCGACTATTCTTTCATATGGCAAACCTTCTAATTATTTTGATTTTTCTTAGTTGGGCAGCCCAAAACTTCTTGAAACGTGGGACAATGTAATAACAGCTATCCTCTAGACGAACTGGCCATAAATCTTCGAACTGCAATGGTTTCTTGTATCCTTTGATAATCAAACTGGAACAGTAGGTCATATTTTATTAGCCTAATAGTATTAACTTATGTGTGTATCTAAACCCTTAAAAATCCATGAAAATTGCATACCGTGTAAATGAATCTAAATTAAGATGATATTGCAATGCGATATGCGATATGATACACTCCCCTCCATAAGTTTGGCAACCTTAGCTCCCCCATTGAACTACATGTTATTTAAGCCTTTTTACCTTTGAAATATTTTTATTTGCTTAGCCTGCGAAGAAAATACTTATACTATTGATGGAAACGTAATTTGACTTTATTTCCAATACCTCCGAATTTTCTCAAGTTTTTCCTTTTTAACGTAAACAGGCTTTAACAAGTAGTTCAATAAGGAAGCTAAGGTTTCCAAACTAATGAAGGGAGCGTATCTCGAAATGTAATGTTCAATAAAGGTTTAACATAACGCTAATTGTAACCCTTTTTATTACCTAGTAAACCACCAGAAAACAAATCTTGAAAATGCAGTTGCAGATCGTTGAGGACATTGTTGCTGTAAGAACAGGGCAAATTTCGTATGTTAGTGGTATATACGAAATGTGATTCTACCTGTATGTTAATTTTGTTTGCAAAATTAGAGCAACATGTACTTAAAGACGAGCGACGTCTCTTTCTATAAAAAAATCTATATCACTTTAATTGGAATCCTTGCGAGTTCTGCAGCATATCCAGATCCCTCGGGTAAGGTTTCTTGTACTGGTTTCAGCAAAGGGATTTTCTCTTCTTCATTTTCTACCATTCTTTGTTCAGCAACGGTTTTCGCTTTCAAGTCAGGAACAAAGTGATAGATAAGTTCACCAAATGCTAAGACGTAGTATATGCAAAAGAGTATTTCATGAGGAACTTCCCTATCCTGAAACAGTATATTTCGAGAAGTAAGTATCTGACTTGATAAAATTTATTTCAAATGAGTTTTGTGGCAAAAATGGCGAGTGCAGTTGTCATTCTAAAAATTAAAGGAGTGAAGAAAGGCAAAACATGTTTTTGTTTGCATTTATCAACAAATGTCATGGCTTTTAATTCATATAAGTAAAGTAATACATGAGTGTCCTAGTATCTAGGTCACTAATGACCTGGTGTAGGTCGTGTTTCCAGAAGAACCAGATGGACATTTGTTATCAATAGTCTACAATTGTTGGATATCTACACTTATATTGGTTTAAATTGCATATTAAGCCAATTGAGACACGTTTAACAGTTCTTTGTCAGTTCCTTGATATATCTAGATACAGTCAAACTAATTCTAACCTCTATTTCGGTATTTGAGGCATATGTAAGAAGTCGACCCAGTCCTCCTACACATGCCAGTGACCAATATATCACAAGAACTGAGGACGTGTGCATTCTCTTGCTATATTCGATGTGGGACAATATCGTTGCTAATAACTGAAAAAGGATTATTTACAATTTTTACATTACTTTAAGAAGCTGGCCCAGTGTGCTATAACATGTCCCAGACCCAAAGTGTTTCCATAAACATAATTACATTGAGTCTATGTGTATCATACTTTTGGTATTGTCTATATTTTGGTATTACAGGATAAATCGATACTAATAAAAAAAATTGCACATCTAAAGAGTTGTATAGTGAGACTGCATAATGTCAAGGGTTGAGGCGGATCCTTTAGTCTTGGCTTATATTGAAGAAATGGTGTTCTACGAGTGTATTGTTTACAATGTTGATTCTAAATACTCACCGATGTTAGAATTAATAGTACTGAAGCAAGATAAACAGCAACTTCAGTCGGATCACTCGCAAGACGCAACGCAAAATCAACAATCAGTGTTACTGTTATCAAACTCCCTAAAAACTACATCAAAAACAATGTATGAAATAAGTTATATGATACTGATACTGATACTTGATATGATATGATTCATTATTATGTACAAAATGATAATTTATTTGACACTTCATTGTTATGTAGTCTCATGATCATATGAAAGAATAAGATCCAGTTTTCTCTCGCTATGAAAATACAACTTCTTCAAAATCATGTGACTTGTTTTTCGTATTCTTCTCCCTTCTCGATTTTTATTTCTAATAAAAAGAATAATTTGATATTCATATCAGCAAGATAATATTCACATAATACTTTTTGTCTCGAACAAACTACATTCTCTAAAAGTAAATATAAGCTCAGTAGTCCATATTTGTGAGCCTCACTTTGAGATGACGGGGATTTTTGTTCTTAATCATTTTTAATAGGCACTTCCTTTCACAACTTTGGCAGGGTACATTGACTTGACTTAATGTGTTTGAATCAAAGTCTTTGAAGGGGACCTTATATAAATAAATAATAAAAAACGTATAATATTTACTATTTTGATGAAGTTAATCCAGCTTTTGTCTCTCCATGTGTTAACGGTTGGAAGCCAATTCAAGTAGATGGCAAAGAAAGGAAGGATGAGCCAAAGGTATGCACTGGGAACCCACACTGTCACGGTGTATTGAAAGCATAATGTGAACTCTGGAGTAGTGGTGTTGATGGTCAGATCATTATCCTGAATACAAGATTTGCTTTCATTTGAAAAATGTATTGAATATTACCGGACCGACTTAAAAAAACAAAGCGATAAAATGTTTTTAGGAACAGAATCACATCGATCAATAACTAATACACAGCTGCAGGTATGCATCTGTTGATTATACTCTCCACTAAAAATGAAGGTTTTACTAATTTTTAACAACTGTGATTACCCAGAATGCCCATTTCCGAGATGAATTTCCGCAGACGGCTGGAAGCCATGTTAGTTCAGAAGCCATAGTTCAGGTGATAATCCAAACACGTCGAGGTATTTCTGTTGTAATGTCTCAAACCTATGCTCGGTAGTTTTGGTTTAATGTTTGCCAGCCCGCTTCACGTATGTACTGTAAAAACAATACTATTACACTAATGAAGAAGTGTAGCCTTAGTGTTTTATTTTAACTGAAAGGAAACTAATACTGTCTAACTATTACGTTAAAGTGGCCAATCGGTCAACACTTTTGATATGTATTCATAAATGTATACTTTTCAAGAATGGGGAAAAAATTCCACTAGGTGATACATTTTCTAACAATGCATGTAATTCAATGATTTTTGCAGAATAAACATAAAATCGATTTTGCAATGTAACTAAAATAACGTAAATAAATCATCAAGGTAATCTTGATAGAACGATCGACAAATACCAGGGGTCTGAATAGAAATTTGCTACATGATGTTCAGAAAACAGGATCTTAAGAGGTTCTGGACAAATCATTTGATTCTGGACTTGACATATTTTTTTTCCAACGAAATCACATCCAAGGGTTGAATTTTTATTGGATATTTAGAGAGCGAGTCCTGTATTGATTTCAATAAAAAGGTTAAAATAGAACGCTATTTGAGAGTTAATCTTATACTTTCATTACATTGATAAATTAAGGCAAATTCTGAAAAATTTTAAAGTGCATTTTTTATGAAATATTATCCAAGTATTTAGATGAAACGGTCTTATTTAAATACAAATCATAACATGATGATATTTTTTCATAAAATATTTCTTCAAGAAATTCAATTGTTGAAGGCTCAAGATAAAACGAGCTAATTTAGGTGAAAACCCTTACATGATGATGTGTTTTCATGACTTCTTTCATAAAATTCCATCAAGGGGTGAAAATAAAATGATCGAATTTAAGTGATTTAAGGATCACGAGGATAGGTTTTCTTGGATATTTTCTATGAAATCCCATCCAGTGGTCAAGGTAAAATTTTTATTTGGTATATTTGGTCACGTGTTCGAACCCATAGAACCATATAGGAACGTCATTTTGAATGTTACGTGATAAATCCATATAAGGCTTTTAGAACAATGTGGGGAAAGATGAGGGGAAACCCCTGACACCTGTTCACGATTTTATCCGAACGTTCATCGGATCATTTCGGTTTTTATGCACTTCATTATTTTACCGAAGTTTGCCGATTCGATTCGTCGTATTTCGGAATATTGGGGACAATTTTATACTCCATTGGGAGTATTTTTAATCTACTTCTTATTACGAAGATTCCCGAACCTTGTTCGGATTAATCCGGAATTTCTGACCTACTTCATCTACCGAGATTTAACGAGTTTACATTCGGCTCATTTCGGAATCCTGGTGACAATTTTATACTCCATTGGAGTATTTTTGATCTACTTCTTATGACGAAGATTTCCGAACCTTGTTCGGATTAATCCGGATTTTCTGACCTACTTCATCTACCGAGATTTAACGAGTTTACATTCGGCTCATTTCGGAATCCTGGTGACAATTTTATACTCCATTGGAGTATTTTTGATCTACTTCTCTGGATTTTTGATCTACTTCTTATGACGAAGATTCCCGAATCAGTTCGGATTAATCCGGATTTTCTGACCTACTTTATCTACCGAGATTTAACGAGTTAACATTCGTCTCATTTCGGAATCCTGGTGACAATTTTATACTCCATTGGAGTATTTTTGATCTACTTTTTCTGGATTTTGCCCTACTTATTATAAGTTGACAGCAAGCAAATCAAAAAGTTCGCCATGAACGGGTTTCGATCGACTAACCTAGAGAGTGGAAGCTAAACACGCTAGCCATGAGGCTAACGTTCACCTGTGTGAGATGATAAAAGTATCATATATTTATACCGAGCGTCAATTTAGAATGATCTTCGCTTTTGACTCCACTTAGATACAACTCGTCAGTTGTATCCAGAATAGGTGAACGCCTATGGTGTTAGTGAATAACCAAATCCCAGGCGAGTGGTTCGTATCCCACCGTGATATGATATTTTTGCTTTATTAATACGACAGAAAGGAGCAAGGTGTAGGTTTGAAAACAAGACGTACGTTTATTTCAATACAGTTTTAGAAACATTAACCTCTGATAATTGAAGGATTTCCACTTCTGAAGCGCGACTAGATCTAAGAAGTTCATTAATCAAGACAGTGTAAACCTTTTAGATATATGTTAGACAATGTACACGCCCCGTGTGGAATCAACTAAATGTTACATTTTGGATTTCATTGAGATCCTGTCATAGTCCTAAAATTTATTTTTCTGGAACATCATTTTTTCAACACTGATACAAATTTCCCTGACATTTCCATGACATGTCTACAGTTTCAAAATTCCCGGACTCTTTGGCCCTTTTTGACCTTATTTTAAAATTCTCTGACATTTCAGGCACTTGGAAAATTAAATCAAAACCCTGACATTTCCAGGTGTGTACGAACGCTGGAATTATTCTTAAAATATCCTTCAAACAAAAGGGGAAAATGCTATGCACAAATACTCTAATTTAGTTTGTATTGTAATGCGTTGTATTACATTGCATTGCATTGTATTGTGTATTTATTTGAGTGTCCGTTGACGGTAAAGAAGGCATTTAAAAGTTATTTGTGAAACTTAATAAACTTAATAAACAATACTTTAACAGTATTCTGTTATGGCAAAGTATATTTCATTTTTTCTCTTGTTCTCTACAATCTGCGTTGAGGACACTGAAGCATATGTCTGTATTTTGTTGGTGGGGAACAGCGTATCCTATCGTTCACGGAGCAAATTCAACTCTCGTTCACGAGTACCTTGTTTTTGGGCTCTTGTCCCAAAGATAACGATTGTATAAGGTTGCATAATCAGGATTATGAGCTTTCATGTTCTCATAGTTACATCTGTTGTAAAACGAATCTTGTCGCAACCTCTGCGAATCACGACAGCATAACATTTGAATCACGTTGACATCATTGCAAAATTAGGCTAAATATGCTAAGTCAAGACGTTCATTAGCCCACGAAAGTTCATGGGTAACTTGAGAACTACAAAATACAACCAAATACTTTTCGAACGTACAATAGCAATATTTCTCACCTAACGTCTTCATAGTTTTAGGAACGTATTTTAAACGCATGATAGCCAAATATATCAAGATACTATATCTGCCTAAATGAAGTTATCTAGTGTTTACAAAGTTTTGAAATATATTATATCCAGATCCATCAGAAATTAACTTATCCATTTACATTACTTTACTAGTTCTAGTATCTTGCATGACTCGTTCATAAGAATTCTTTAATTCTACCTCGTTCCCAATACGTCCTCAGACAGACAAGAAATTGAAGTCACACCCGTTTGTTTGCGTGGCATATTTATACGTATACGCACTTTCTCTGATTATTGTCAAACAAATACATTTCAGGAGAAGAACATAAAAAACAAATGCCTGAAACGAATGCCGAAACATAAATCCCAAGTGATTAAGTATAGAATGTTTTATTCTTTTACGATTTGATAAGAGACCGAGACTAAGAAATTAAATGCGACGAAATATTTTGACAACGTAATTTGTATACTGTTTTATTCTTAAAGTTCTATGCGATAAATTATTTTATCTGTTTCAAAATGTTTCATTTTATTTTGCCTATATAAAAGAGATTGAAGAAGATAAGATAAACTGTTCCGTAATATATATTGTGTTTTAATAACCTTTTTTTAGAATCACAATGTAAAATAAATCTCCCGTTCCTGCCATTCTGGTAACGCCATGCAATGGATGCAATTCAAAGTGAGAGAGAGATCTATGAATAACAGAATGCGTCCATGCCATTAATTTGGCCAAATACATGGCATGAAACTGACGTAAGTTTAAGTAAGCTACGCCCCCCGCTTTCTCTGGTAAATTATGACTTTATTTTTCGGAGTAATGGGTTTCGGACAACTGGGTTTCGGAGAACTGGGGTGTACCCGAATACGCTTTGCACGCCGCTTTAAAATCCCGATGTCTCCAGAGGTAGTTTAATCCGGTAGCCGACAGGCGTTTCTTGCATTATTGAATACAAGCTAACCTTATATTCGCGAATGCAACTAACGCCTTCCGGCTACCTGATTAACCCAGTATAATATGACCAAGTCATTTAAATATGAATGGAATAGTGGCAGGTACTATTCGTATTGACATGAGTTTCCAGTAAAATAATAGGTTAATCCGGTAGCCGACATGCGTTAGTTGCATTTGCGAATACAAGCTAAGACTATGATTTGGGAATGGAAGATTTCAGCTTCCGGATTAACCTACCATTCTATGGGCGACTCATTTAAATATGAAAAGAACCTGACAATATTCCATTGATATTTTAATGAATTGCCCATAAAATAGTAAAGTAAGTTTATCCGGTAGCCGACAGGCGTTAGCGGCATTCGCGAATACAAGCTCCTTTATTTCATAATTTGGGAAATATATATTTTCACAATATTGAAATAGATGGTGGTTCAAAGTGGAATACATATCATACAAGTGTCACAGATATTTTTAGTGCATATATGGTCTGTCTTTGCATGACTTTGTAGAACATATCAAAACCCTGGGATCCACAGGGTAACAGTAAGTACATTTCGTGAGATCTTCCGAAGTTCATGCTTCAAAGTTGTCAAAGTTGTAAAAGGGTAATCCTTTTTTGAGTACGAAAGCGTACTTTTTGTTCAATAGCCTTTCCCAGCTGCTAATCTTTTGAGTGCATCGTGCATTCAACGAATTGTATTCACTTATTAACCAATCAGTGCCAGGAACAAAATGCACGCTTACTTTTTGGGCTAAGTTTAGTGTTTTATGAAGCATGCTACATACAAATGTTACGCTTTTGCTCATTTACTTTGAGAACTATCTATAGGTACACATTACCAATTGACTCCTAGATTTGAGTGAACAAGTACCTCGTATTTTTCATTTTTCGATATTTTGAGATTTGTTGGCTGATGAGTAACTTGATATTTTATGTCTAAATATATTAAAGTGGTTAATAGTAATAGTTTTATTGTACACCATAAACTGTTAACGTTTTAGAATTGGGACACAATATATGATTTGATAATAGAACAATACATGTATATGTCTTACTCTAAACTCGGTGGTTTGTTTGTTAGTATGTTTTCTTAACAGCTCAATAACTGTTGTATTAATAAGGCGTTATACTATGAAAAAAAGATTGAACGATGTAGGCATAGGCAGAGGGAGTATCACACTACCCTACCACGTGAACACATTTAAAAAGAATACAGGGTACAGTCGGGGGTACAGTTAAGTTGCAAATAGAGCGGGTATTCTTTGTCCTTTTCCATAGGACTTTTCTGGTGATAGTGCGTTGCAAACTGCTCGATGAATCTATACAATGTAAAATCTAGTATTCCTCCAGAACTATGGAAATAAACAAAGGTCCTCCATTTGCAACTTCACTGTAGCCTGTATTCCTTTTAAAGAAATACGGGCTACAGTATTGGGGTATAGTAGTTTGATTTTTCAATATATCACTAATCTAGCTTCTTTCCTTGAAAAAACATGAGTTTTGATGTACGTATATCAAACATGGGCCACTGCACTATATTGAACCAGGGTGCCGGTGTTACATAATGTGATTTTATGGGCCATCATACAACCACCTCTTGCCCACTTTATTCATGTTTTGGATTACAGTTTATACACAATGCATAAACAGCATGAAACAATCATTTCTACTTGTGGATTAGATTTGTATACATCTCTTTGTGAACTGAGTGTTATGTTCAATATGTGAAAATATCATGGACTTAAATTGTACTTATATTTATAACCTGACCACATTTGCATATGTTCAACAACTGACTGAGTGATCGAGTTCATCAAACAATGTTCGTAATAGAGGTCATGAACTTTGCTTTATTCATAATCCTATTTCTGCAACTGACTCATATTATGCATCTTATTATATAATATTATATGATTTATTTTGATTAGCAGTGTCTCATTAGCCATTGGTGGCTCGAGGCTTTTTGGATGATTGTACAGATGTATATGTATGAAATTAAGCATGCGACACTTAAATAAAAAACAATACAATATTAAGCTTATAAACTTGCTGATCATATGATTTTAATATTTTAATACTACATGATACTCATATCAAAATACCAATGTATTTGTGAACAACTCTTACGTTTGATATTGTACGAATTTTCTGATTTGCTGTAGTAGTCGTAAATGCAACATATAACAATGTTATGTTACTTTGTGTCATATGAAAAATAAATTCGTACAAAGATGAGTTTTATTTCGTTTGTTATTCAATGTAGAATACACGTTGTACATTATTTCATGTATAGGATATTGACAATAATCAGACTATCGTATTACAATACAGAAGAATAAAAGAGATAATGATATATGCATTCTAATTTGAGATTGACATGCGTAAAGGTATCAATATTTTATCTAGTATTTCATTTTATCCCTCCCATCCCATCCCACCCGCTCATCAGCAATCCCCAGAAAATTCGTTCGGTGCTTTTAAATGTTAATAGTTCGGTTGAGTTTCAAAAATAAATCTTAAGCACTTTAAATCTAGATAAAATATTCATGATTTGATTGTGATTATCATTTCTAATTATTACATGACGGTTCCATTACATTCAATGCGTATCTAATCCTCATAGTTTATACTCGATTTTCGACAGGTAAAGGTAATATATCAACCCTCGGTCCCTACTATTTCTCGTGTAGATATATTGCATAACTTTCTCAGATATATCCTGTATATTAAATACATTAAATAACATTATATATGTTAGTCTCAGCCTAGACAGTATATATATCAATTTTATTGGATAATGCCATGGGCTTTCCCACGATAATGCGTAAATTCGAATGACCTTGAAATGAATTTCAACATCCAAAATGTGTTAATTTGATCATCCACCGTGTAACTAAAAGCATATTCATGGCCTATTTGCCTTAAAATACGATTGTGATTATGATTTCGAATTCTGTTCTCCATATGTAAAATCTAGAAACATAACAGAGTTAAGTTACACGAAATTCAGCCAACTTGAACATGAAGTCTTGTCAATTTACTTAATCGTTGATTGATTTCTAGGTTTATTAGAATTAAAAGAACGAACGTTTCATCAAACGAGTCCTATATTCAATATCTATTCGTTGGGCCCATTCTTTAAATGTAACTATATTCTTTTAACTTTAAAAGTATCTGTTTAGTGCTACTTTAACATATATTCATTATTTTTATCCGCACAACAGTATCAAACGTTAATGCACAACTAGCCATGCCAAGACATGGCCACTACCCTCGTCCAAAGTAAAATACAAGGTCCTCATTCTTTAATGATTATGTTTCAATTGATTTAGTTTAGTGATTTAAATGTAGGAAAATGAGTCGCTGTGATGTCATATCTGGCGCAGCAATTTCAGAGTCACTGCAAAAAATTGAAACATCAGTCGGATCATAAGACTAAATAAAAAAGCTATTTAGGGATGAATAACATTCGGTGAAATCCGTGATATCGTTATATCATTCGTTAATTGTCAAAGCTGCGCCCATTTCTCGGTGCAGGCAGATATAAGGCGGCCAGACTGGGCATACACAAAATGTATTGTATGTGCTCCTTAGGTTGCACTCGGGTGCTATCAACATCGAACACACACACGTTTAAGATACACAGAGATAATTAAGGGATGAGTGACAAAGGGATGTTAAAAACAGGTGGCTATTGCAATTGATATTTTAATGTCACTTTAGTATGTAAGAATCTTTTCATCAATCAAAATCAAAAATACTCCAATGGAGTATAAAATTGTCACCAGGATTCCGAAATGAGCCGAATGTAAACTCGTTAAATCTCGGTAGATGAAGTAGGTCAGAAAATCCGGATTAATCCGAACAAGGTTCGGAAATCTTCGTCATAAGAAGTAGATCAAAAATACTCCAATGGAGTATAAAATTGTCACCAGGATTCCGAAATGAGCCGAATGTAAACTCGTTAAATCTCGGTAGATGAAGTAGGTCAGAAATTCCGGATTAATCCGAACAAGGTTCGGGAATCTTCGTAATAAGAAGTAGATTAAAAATACTCCCAATGGAGTATAAAATTGTCCCCAATATTCCGAAATACGACGAATCGAATCGGCAAACTTCGGTAAAATAATGAAGTGCATAAAAACCGAAATGATCCGATGAACGTTCGGATAAAATCGTGAACAGGTGTCAGGGGTTTCCCCTCATCTTTCCCCACATTGTTCTAAAAGCCTTATATGGATTTATCACGTAACATTCAAAATGACGTTCCTATATGGTTCTATGGGTTCGAACACGTGACCAAATATACCAAATAAAAATTTTACCTTGACCACTGGATGGGATTTCATAGAAAATATCCAAGAAAACCTATCCTCGTGATCCTTAAATCACTTAAATTCGATCATTTTATTTTCACCCCTTGATGGAATTTTATGAAAGAAGTCATGAAAACACATCATCATGTAAGGGTTTTCACCTAAATTAGCTCGTTTTATCTTGAGCCTTCAACAATTGAATTTCTTGAAGAAATATTTTATGAAAAAATATCATCATGTTATGATTTGTATTTAAATAAGACCGTTTCATCTAAATACTTGGATAATATTTCATAAAAAATGCACTTTAAAATTTTTCAGAATTTGCCTTAATTTATCAATGTAATGAAAGTATAAGATTAACTCTCAAATAGCGTTCTATTTTAACCTTTTTATTGAAATCAATACAGGACTCGCTCTCTAAATATCCAATAAAAATTCAACCCTTGGATGTGATTTCGTTGGAAAAAAAATATGTCAAGTCCAGAATCAAATGATTTGTCCAGAACCTCTTAAGATCCTGTTTCAGAACATGTAGCCTTGCCCAAGTCGGTATTTCTTTACTTATCCTGATCTGGTCATAATAGAAATCAAGATAAGTAAAAGAGACCGACATGGGCAAGGCTAGATGTTCAGCCATGATCCAATTCGCGGGGCATAATAAAAATCACTGTATAATTGTTCCATGGTAACTATGAATTTGCATTGACACCCCTATTACCCGTTATACGCTTTATTTCCAAATACTACTCATGCTACTGAAGCTATACTTGTGCCATTTTGAAAACTATTAGTGAATGATTGACTGCTGCACCTCAAGCCAGATTATTTTTGAATCCCATGCTTCATCTACCGACCGAGCTATCGCAAAAGAATATGAATGTTTTTGACCAACCCTATATATTTGATCCATACGATAGGGGACGGCGGAGCAAGGCGGGCACAAAAAGAGCAGTCATTTTTAACAGCTTGTAAAGATATTTTGCGAAGGTTTCTGTCCGCTGAACTCATGTTTATTGAAACAAGGAACATTGGTTCTCTGAGACACATTGATATATGGCATTGATTAATATTTTGAAATAAATTTTTGAATTGCTAATATGCCCCTCACTTTTGAAAAATAATTTTGTGTGGTCATGGGGCAAGAAGGGCCCCCGTGAGGCAAGAAGGGCCGTTCTATCAGAAACCTTCTTTGAATTGTAGGTTTTACCAAAGTCAGAAGTGGGGCAAAAAGGGCCACGTTTTGGGGAAAGTGGCGCGTGAACGGCGAGTGAGGTCTGTGCCATGATGATCCCATGTCAGAATAATATCAGGCGATATATACTTTAAAACAATAAAATAAACTTGGTGGTCCGTCTTGACCCACCCCGCTGTCCAACACGTTCTAGTCTACTAGATATCTGCTTTCACATCGTTGCTAGCATTGCTTACATGAGATACTTACAGAAATGTTAGTATAGATGGATATGTAAAAACTAGATGTCGTACGTATACTGTAATTACTTGAACCGATGAAAACATCTGATGTACTTAAATTGGTATCCTCACCCTCTCGTTGCACATACACAGTCCTCCACGCGTTCAGCGACCAATCGAAATTGATAACAGCTCCTTTGTAACTTCACAAATGGTATTTAAATTGTGATTAAAGACACCAGAAGGGGACTTGCGGCTCATATCCAATATCCTAGTACTTCTTATTGTTCTGCGAAAACCTATATCAATGTGTGCCCGAGATCTAGAATGTCATCTCTTGTGACACCAATAGTCCCAGTTTTTATCTCCAAGGTGTATAACAAACTTACCGACTGTTGTGAAATATCTGTACTTCATACAATACTCATTATCTTTACAGAAGGGCCCTTCAGGTATATGTTATATATCAAGATATCATAAACGGACACCTTAAAATGCAAATAAATAACTGTAACCTGATATTATTCCTGTCATTTTGGTTGTCTTTGGTTAGCATCGTTATGATGAGTGTTTTGTACTCAACATGGTTCCACTTAACATATGATACCGGGGTGGATCTGAAAATCAAGTGGAGGGGAAAGTGTGGACCCAAAGTTTGGAATTTTAGACCCCTATTCTGAAAATTTGGGAAATTTTTTTCAAAAGTAAGCCCAAAATTAAAATAAATGCCGAGTAATGCCAGTTTGTTTCTTAAGTTGCCTACTTATGTGGAGAGAAGCATACTTTGGGCCCTAAAATTCCTTTGGACCTCATTTTTTGGAGGGCCAACGAGATCCAGCAGTGATCATGGCCGTGTTTTGAAGTACTCTGTCAGATACTGTTGTCACAAATGGCGGACATAACTGTTGCTACAACTGTTTAATCACTTGGTCCTAATTTCATGGGATTTTATCGTAGCTAATTTCGTGCATGTATAAAGCTCTTGTGATGATGTTTCATATGAAATCCCAATTTCGATCATTGGGTCGTGAATCGCCACAATACACTGTTGCTCATAAATATGGAATATTAGATTTGTCAGATAAGAATTCAAGTTTTGGATGAAGACAACTTTTATTTGGAGTCGTTTAAGCAAATAATTTTCTATGCAAATCATAAACACATATTTAATCTACAAATCAACATTTTTTAGGGAAAAAATATTTACATTTAAGTTTAGAAATTTGCTGGCGTTTAAAATGGGGCAGTCTGAAAAATTTTGCATTTTCAAAACACCCCGATCCAAATTTTAATGTAAAGTGGATCAAACAAACTAAACACCAGGACATGAAGATGAATTACTCCTCTAGCCCATAACAGCACTAATATGCGGTATTTCTTCCTATTGCTGCATTCAGAGCATCCATCTCGCGGGGCCCGCTGTCAATGATATGTCTGACCTGTCTACGCGAAATATGGTCCCACTACTCAATCAGAGGAGTATATAACTCTGCTAAATTTTGAGATAGGGGATCCATGTGACAAATTTCGCTGTCAGTTTCATCCCACATGTGCTCTGCGAGAGCCTGATCAGGTGACTTTGGTGCCTATGGTAGCTGCTCCACATTGCCTGCCCTGGGGAAATCCTGCATAATGAAGCTATCATACGCATCAGCTTCATCATGCTGCAGTTTAAAGTTACGCCCAAACACTCTATTTGCATGTGGTACTATATGTAGATCCAAAAGGTCACCGTACCTCTCACCGCTGACATTACAGTTGAGACTCACCAAGCGGGTGCGACTCTCCTTGGTGAACACCACCTCAAATATGAACAGAACCACCTCCACAAGCTACTTTTAATAACAATCAGTTTTATGTACAAATATGAGGAGAAAATCGATAGGAAATAAACATTTTTTAACTTATTTTTACCATTTGTAAGAATTATACCAAACAATTAATAATTGTAAAATATTCCATATTTATGAGCAACAGTGTATAGCGTCTTCGATATCGTCAATGACAATGGAATCTGAATTTGAGTAATTTAGAAAGACAACGGCATATGTTAATTACGGTGTTCGTTGTCCGATATCTCATTTCGATCGGTTAAATTAAAGACTTTCAAATTCCATGGTAGAACATAATTAACTGTACAATGAGTATAAAGACACTTTGATTGATTGTTGTTCCAAAGGAATTTAGTCTAGGTGCTCTATCAAACATACAATTCATGAAAATCGACGGTTATGTTCGCCATTTGTGACAACGGTATCTGACTTTACCGTTGTCAGGCTATTCCGGTGTGTAATTATTGCAGTTTTTTAAAACTAGATCAAAGTTGTCAATGTAGGTTTCAAATTTTTTTTCTTTATGCAGAAAATATGATGCATTACCTAGAAAAACAGCTTCTTCTGAAATTGCAGAATTTCTCATAATTTATATAATTCTAGGTAAAATTCTTTATTTATCCTTATTTTTCCATTCTTTCCAAAATATCATGATTGTTATTTGCAGCCTACACAATCTCCTTTATGCTAAGAATAAAATTGAGACAACATTGTGAATTTTCATTATAGAAACTAACGTTAAATGGGTGTCTTGTATAAAGTTCCAAAAACCCTCAAAATCAAGGTTTCTATGGAAAAAATGAAACTACGTTATGATGATAGGGTGATTAAGCATTGGATATTGAAACAAATTGAGGCTAGAATGACTCATGTATGGTAGCAAAGGTTTCAGGAAGGCAAAAATAATGTACACTAATGACTTTTCTGAGATTGAGAGCTATTATCACAGATAGAGGGAGAATATGTTAGACATATTTTTCAAGAATTTCTTCATTTTTGAGTGTAAAATCTGTTTTTGTGAATTGTGATATTACAATAAAAAACTGTCACATAATTTCTACAACATTGAAAATAAGTTACAATCATTATATTGTATTTTATTAAAGCTGAATGAATTTCCCATCTTTTGTTTTATAACACATGGTATATCTGAGTGATCCTAAATACTTCTAGATCTAAGAATGATACAAAGTGTTCCATTTTCTATTGCCCACTCTGTATTATATTGCTCTAAGAAATAATTTGACAGCAAAACAGGCAACATATAAAAACGAACAAGCCATTTGACTATTAGACACCAAGATATAAAGTCTGTAAAAATTATAAAGCCCATGATGTTTTGTTTGGGCAGAGTAATATCAACAATGTTAAATGGCTTTCATCAATCCTCAAATAAATGTTTATCTCTGAATCCTATATCCTTTTATATCATGTATATTTCTGTATAGTATTATATAAAAAAAACCCAGAAAAAACAATGCCTAAATCTTTAGACAACCGGTTGAGCACTCGGAGCCCATTCGGAGTGGTGTCGAAGAAGCACAGCGACGAAGTTTAATTTCTGATGAGTTTATTGTGAAAATAAATGGAGCAGTTAACAGATCCAAATACACGAAGAAATGCCATCGTTAGGGTTAAAATAATTAAAAAACATATAAACTATATTATATATATTATCAAAGGTTAAATGATAACTGAATAAAAAATAAGCCTCATTTTCCTTGCCGAAACCCGGGATTGAACCAGGGACCTTTAGATTCCTGGCGTATCAAGGATAGCAGCCGCTTCAGTCTAACGCTCTCCCAACTGAGCTATTTCGGCGGTGGCTTAAACTTTACTGTTTATAGCTTTAATTGAAAGTGGTTCAACATACAATCGATGTGTAAAAATGATTGTTGCCGATTATAATGTGTCAGTTTGAACTTGTAGTGTTGTCATTAATCACCAAGCTAGTGTTTCGTATGTAAGGGTTTGTCATGTGAGAATAACAATCGACATTACACAAATTAAGGTGGTTGTATACACAGAGGCCTAAAATGATGTACAATAAAACAATAAAGTGTATACACTTTAAATTGAATTGACCACGCCATAATTTTGCTATGATCAAACAGAAAAGTTGGTGTCACCCACTTTGCTCCATTATGTTAGGGCAGGGAAATTGAGAGTATGGGATTAGGAGGCTGTCCGTGGGAAGCTGTATTATCTCAAAATCTAAATTACAGGATTGTTTATTTTTTGCGCATAACTAAAGTTGATCTCAGGAAAATAAAAATAATGTATATATAGCGCTCGATGCACATTTTCCTGCAAAAGAGAGCAACTGATATAAAGTTTAGGTCGAAACAAATAAGCAGATAAATAAATATATTATATGATTTATATTATTATAATAGGCTATTAGATATTTTCTTTTTCGTTTGCTGATCCTATCAGTATTAAATGTATCTGGAGGGTTGGGTAATGAGACAGGACTGCAGATCGCAGGATATGTCCCTGGTTCAAAAATACGAGTGCATTAATCAGTTTCTACCGGGAGATGTTTCATTGACACTCTACAACACTATAAGCAATATATTTCAAGGACTCCGAGAAAAGAGGTGCAGGAATGACAGTCGCCTATTTATTTATTTCATATATGTAAAATTATATTTAAGATTCTAATTGTATGTTTCACCACCATTTATAGGTAAATTGACGTATGATAAAGACGGCATCCTGGTTGATGAGTCTTTCTTTATCCAAAGCGCTATTCCAAGGGATGGTAGGGTCTGTGGACCCCACAATGATAGTTTTGAGTTTGGTGACATTAATCAAAAAGTTCATTTTGACAAGAGCTTGTGGAAAGTCCAGGGTTTTAATGCTAATAGCCGATGACCCAGAACGAAGATAAATATGTTTATTGATAATTAAAGGCCATCTTTGCGTATTTTCAATGCTTTCGGACAAAATGAAGACTTAGATTTGAATTTCATGGTATGTCCAACGTATTGATAAGAACATTATCTGTCAAGCTTTATATATCAAGTTTTTATCAATGTAATTGAAAGATGGCAAAGTTATTTGTATTACATGATACATTCACTTTTAAAGAAGTGTCGCAATCTTTTAAATCAACAGTAATTTAAAACATGCATTTTGTTTAACCTGTGCATACATGTCTAGGAGAGAGCGGGGTAAGATGGAACGCGGGTTGAGACGGAACGATGACTTTTTATTAAAGTATTGGTTACAGCTGACAAGAAAATGGTGGTTGAACAGAATGATCACTTGACATATTTTCAAGAAAAGTTTACTTCAGTAATCTCTTTTAAACAATTATTCAATAAAAAGCCATTTCCGTCTCACCCCGCATTCCATCTTACCCCGCTCTCCCCTAATGATCTCTGACTTCAAATGCTTTTTTCTATAAGAGTTATTTTTTCTTGGTTCAATATTAAAGCAAATCAAACTTTGTGTCATATTTGAGCGAATGTGTGAGTAACATGTTTTAGTGATTTTTTTCTTCTAAATTAAGTATAGTGGGCCTTTAATACAGTATATCGATATCATCATTAACAGAATTACTGTTGAACGATCAATAAATAATAAAATGTGAAATCAAAAATAACATATATAGTTAACAATTCACAGCTCTTGATACGCAGTTGTCATGTAATCTTCATTCTAAAATATGAGACTGACCTTTTTACATTTAAGACTAAACCCATTTAATGATTATGTCACTGGTTAAATTCAGTGACATTCATGTATCAGGAATTAACGACCTGTAGATCGTGACAGTAATTGTTGATGCTGAGTGAATTTAAGATTTTCTAATTACATCAATACAGCCAAGTGTATACATTATATTATATATTATTATGCACCTCATTAAAATACTCAAATCTGATTGGTTAAGAGCTGCAGGGTGGGTATATTGCCATACGTGGCAGCAAGATATCGTTCTATCCAGTATTGAAGCAACGAGATCTCCAACCATCCCGTATGCCAGAATACCTATCCTCGTAAAAATTACTTTCGACGTGTAATTAATTGACAAAGGGTAGGTGGCGCTAGATAAGGCATCGGCCAAACTTATTATATATGGAGGGAATACTTAAGAATAAGGCCAAATGAGAGAATAAATGGAATTTTTGATTGTCGAACACCAGGGTTTTTATAGGCTCGGCTTCTGTTTTAGTATACCCATTCTTTAAAATAGCCTAAAGTATTTCTCAAGGGAGGTGCATAATAAAATAAATACTAGATGACCATGAGGTGGATATGCCAGAATACCTATCCTCGAAAAGAAATACTAAGCTCGGCTTCGCCTCGCCTAGTATTTTTCCTCGGATAGGTATTCTGGCATATCCACCTCATGGTCATCCAGTATTTGTTTAATACAGGGTGACACAAAAATGCCACCCTACTTGTATAGCATCAACAACTTTGTAATAATACATTGCACAGACAAGTACATTATATATCTTTTTCTTGAATGATGCAATACATTCAGCCACGTTTATTATAATAAGAGTATACAGTTTTGTTAAGCGTACCTCTTTGCCACACAGTAATTCATTTTGTATATAAACGCCAATTAAAAAGTCTTAAACATAATCTTGAATAATATAGTTGGTTTGATGTGTAGTATTTCAAATATTTTTCATGTATTTCTTGTTATAAATAAGACAAAGAAACCTACTCGGAGGCTTCAAATTTGAACTTGATGAACATATGTATTTAACATTATAGGAGAACACATAAAATCTGCTATTACTTTTGTATAATTGATTAAATTCTCCTGAATTCTCTTGCAAAACCTTGACACATCATTAAATGTCACGTAGATCCTATCTGTATAATTATACATAAGTATGATATCTGGCATATTCGATACGCAATGATCACTGTTCTACAACATAATGGATGAACTTCCCGGATACGAATTTTTTGTTTTCTCGATTTAAAACTACCGTACTTAAAAGTCAAATTGCCGATTATAATTTGGCACAAAGCTAGAAAATATATTCTAGCTTTCATAAGTTTTTTTCGATTTGGATTTATTTTGTAAATGAAGTTGCAATCCATATATTTAGTCCCTTGCTTTTGTTACATTGACGAAAGTCCGTTATATTGCCAATGTATGTTACTTTGATGACGTACGTCAATGTAACATATGTGATGGTCTAAATGCATGAATAACAGCTTTTTCTAAAAATCAAAATCCGCATTTGTTAAAGCTAGACTATATTGTCTAACCTTCTGCCAAACCATAATCCGCAACTTGACTTATGAGAAGGTTTAAATCGAGAAAACAACAAAGTCGTATCCAGTCGTATCGTATCCATTCCGTCAAAGTAACTAGTTGTGGAACAGTGATGATAGAGTAAGGTGTTTGAGCTGTCATTTTGATATTAATATGCCAAGCAGCATAAAGCAATGGAATTAAAAAGAAACTGACATTTTCTGGAGGACTCCATTGTCCCACACAAGTATCTCACATTTTCCAGGTATGAATTCTAAAGCATTAATGTAACCCTTTTTAGGACCCGGATATCGGAGTCCACTGGAAGAAAGTGATGTTAGACTACTCGTTGTCGTGTCAAAGCGGTGGGTAAAATAAGTGGGACTGCTATACGAGTTAAGAATATATAGCATTCCGTTTGCCATGAATGAATTTCCACTTCCCCTTTTCTTTACATTGAGCTGCCATGTTTTAACAATGACCAATGTGTCGATGTCCAAATGTGCAATTGCATAGTTTCCACCATTTTGTTTTGAACCATATATAGCGTAAAGTTGATTCCCAGTATCCAAAGCAAGATCAATGTCCGTGTATCCGCCCCATTGATAATGATATGTATTACGGAAACCAGCGTCTGTCAAAGCCACTTCACCAACGTTTTCTTTAGTACTTATCTGTATTTTCACCACTCTATTTGAGTTTGCCAAGTTGCAATAGAAAAAGCCTGCGTATATGACATGTCCAGTTCCGTCACACGATTGTTCTGAAATCAAGACGCATTCATATGATTCTCGTAGGCTTTATTAATAAACTCACTGTAACACTTTTCAAACTTAAACTAATCTCAATGGAAAAAATGAATGGTACATACCAAGAGTTATAGTCTCTATAGGACTCCCCGAAAGTGACATCTCGTTAGCATACCTCTCGAGAGTGTTGGCTGTGAAGCCTTTCATAACCCACGCTGTTGAATCTATGGGGTCCACAAACCACCAGCCATGTGTTCCCAGTCCAGATTTCAAATCAACTGCATTACCAATACTCAAAACCATCGTATTTGAAGTACCTTAATGACCAAAACAACATTGGCATTATTATTTTTTACATCTAATAAATCATTTCCATTGGCAGCAAAGGATACAGAATGTAAATAAAATATATGGAATAAACGAAAAAATCAATTCTTTTACATTAACAGATACCCAAAACAAGATTAACCATAGCGAGCTATTCATACATATGAGGAAATATAATTGTGAACGAATAAAATGTACAATTCTTAATCTGAATCAGAGTATGTCGTATTATCCAAATCTCATAATCTCCTGTATTACTGGTTGAGTCAGTGAAAATCTGAGAAAGTATTTGCTTACTCAGGTATGCGTTGGTTGTTAAACAAAGCTAATGAAAATAATACTTGAAAGGATGCACATACCACAAGACAGTGTTGGTATATCGCGTGTGGTCTTTGGTGTCGGTTTAGTTGTCACCTCAATGTCATCAAAGGTTATTGCCAATTTCTGAACCACTCCATTGTCCCACACAAGTAACTCACATTTTCCAGGTATAAATTCTAAAGAGTTAATGTAGCCCTTTTTAGGACCTGGATATCGGAGCTCACTGGGGGAAAGTGAGGTTAGTCTACTCGTTCTCGTGTCAAAGCGGTGGGTAAAATAAGTGGGACTGCTATACGAGTTAAGAATATATAGCATTCTGTTTGCCATGAATGAATTTCCACTTCCCCTTTTCTTTACATTGAGCTGCCATGTTTTAATAATGAGCAATGTATCGATGTCCAAATGTGCAATTGCATAGTTTCCACCATTTTGTTTGGAACCATATATGGCGTAAAGTTGATTCCCAGTATCCAAAGCAAGATCAATGTCCGAGTATCCTCCCCAACTGTAAGGATATGTATTATGGAAACCAGCGTCTGTCAAAGCCACTTCACCAACGTTTTCTTTGGTACTGATTTGTATTTTCACCACTCTGTTTGAGTTTGCCAAGTTGCAATAGAAAAAGCCTGCGTATATGACATGTCCAGTTCCGTCACACGCTTGCCCTGAAATAAAGAGGCATTTTTGTAGGCTTCATAAATCCAATGTAACACTGATCATACTGATCTCAATGGAAAAGTCGATGGTACATACCAAGAGTTATAATCTCATGATTCCCCGAAAGTGACATCTCGTTGGTATACCTCTCGAGAGTATTGACCTTGCTATAGCCCTTCGTAACCCAAGCTGTTGAATCTATGGCGTCCACAAACCACCAACCATGTGTTCCTAGTCCAGATTTCAAATCAACTGCATTTCTAATGCTCAATACCATCGCAGTAGAACTACCTTAATAAGCAAACCAACATTGACATGATTTAAACATTACAATGGCAGGGAAGGATAAAGAATGTAAATCTTTGGAATAAAGGGCACAATCAATGTGTCCTTTACAATACTGATACCCGAAACAAGACTACAACAGCGAGCTACTCATCCATTGGAAAATATTATCGACTACCAGTAACAAATACAATTCGTATACTGAATTAGAGTATGTGAATTAACCAGATCTTATAACCACCTTATATTACTGGTTCAGTGAAAAATATTTGTTTGCTATAGTGCGTTTTGGTAGTCAAACAAAGCTAATGAAAATATTACTTGACAGGATACACATACCACAAGACAGTGTTGGTAAATCACTCGTGGTCCTTGGTGTTGGTTTAGTTGTCACCTCAATGTCATCAAAGGTTATTGGCAATTTCTGAAGAACTCCATTGTCCCACACAAGTAGCTCACATTTTCCAGGTATAAATTCTAAAGCGTTAATGTAACCCTTTTTAGGACCTGGATATCGGAGTTCACTGGGGGAAAGTGAGGTTAGTCTACTCGTTTTCGTGTCAAAACGGTGGGTAAAATAAGTGGGACTGCTGTACGAGTTGAGAATATATAGCATTCCGTTAGCCATGAATGAATTTCCACTTCCTATTTTCTTTACATTGAGCTGCCATTTTCTAACAATGACCAATGTATCGATGTCCAAATGTGCAATTGCATAGTTTCCACCATTTTGTTTTGAACCATATATGGCGTAAAGTTGATTTCCAGTGTCCAGAGCAAGATCAATGTCCGAGTATCCTCCCCATTGATAATGATATGTATTATGGAAACCAGCGTCTGTCAAAGCGCCTTCACCAACGTTTTCCTTGGTACTAATTTGTATTTTCACCACTCTATTTGAGTTTGCCAAGTTGCAATAGAAATAGCCTGCGTATATGGCATGTCCAGTTCCGTCACACGATTGTCCTGAAATCAAGACACATTCATATGATTCGTGTAGGCTTCATTAATAAACTCATTGTAACACTTTTCAAACGTAAAGTGATCTCAATGGAAAAAATGGATGGTACATACCAAGAGTTATAGTCTCTATAGGACTCCCCGAAAGTGACATCTCGTTAGCATACCTCTCGAGAGTGTTGGCTGTGAAGCCCTTCATAACCCACGCTGTTGAATCTATGGGATCCACAAACCACCAACCATGTGATCCTAGTCCAGATTTCAAATCAACTGCATTACCAATACTCAGAACCATCGTATTTGAAGTACCTTAATGAGCAAAACAACATTGGCATTATTATCTTTTTTTATATCTAACAAATTATTCCCATTGGCAGCAAAGGATACAGAATGTAAATATAATATTTGGAATAAACGAAACAATCAATTCTTTTACATTAACAGATACCCAAAACAAGATTAACCATAGTGAGCTATTCATACACATGAGAAAATATAATCGTGAACGAATCAAATGTAAAAGTACAATTCTTAATCTGAATCAGAGTGTGTCGTATTATCTAAATCTTATAATCTCCTGTATTACTGGTTCAGTCAGTGAAAATCTGAGTAAGTATTTGCTTGCTCAGCTGTGCGTTTTGGTTGTTAAACAAAGCTAATGAAAATAATACTTAACAGGATGCACATACCACAAGACAGTGTTGGTATATCACGTGTGGTCCTTGGTGTTGGTTTAGTTGTCACCTCAATGTCATTAAAGGTTATTCGCATTTTCTGAAGAACTCCTTTGTCCCACACAAGTAGCTCACATTTTCCAGGTATAAATTCTAAAGAGTTAAGGTAACCCTTTTTAGGACCTGGATATCGGAGTTCACTGGGGGAAAGTGAGGTTAGTCTACTCGTTTTCGTGTCAAAGCGGTGGGTAAAATAAGTGGGACTACTATACGAGTTCAGAATATATAGCATTCCGTTTGCCATGAATGAATTTCCACTTCCCAATTTCTTTACACTGAGCTGCCATGTTTGAATAATGACCAATGTATCGATGTCCAAATGTGCAATTGCATAGTTTCCACCATTTTGTTTTGAACCATATATGGCGTAAAATTGATTCCCAGAATCCAAAGCCAGATCAATGTCCGAGTATCCTCCCCATTGATAATGATATGTATTATGGAAACCAGCGTCTGTCAAAGTCACTTCACCAACGTTTTCTTTGGTACTAATTTGTATTTTCACCACTCTATTTGAGTTTGCCAAGTTGCAATAGAAATAGCCTGCGTATATGACATGTCCAGTTCCGTCACACGATTGACCTGAAATAAAAAGGCATTCTTATGATTCTTGTATACTTCATTTAATAAACTCACTGTAACACTTTTCAAATGTATACTGATCGCAATGGAAAAAATACATACCAAAAGTTATAGTCTCTATAGGACTCCCCGAAAGTGACATCTCGTTAGTATACCTTTCGAGAGTGTTGGCCATATAGCCTTTCATAACCCATGCTGTTGAATCTATGGGGTCCACAAACCACCAACCATGTGATCCTAGTCCAGATTTCAAATCAACTGCATTACCAATACTCAAAACCATCGTATTTGAAGTACCTCAATAAGCAAAACAACATTGGCATCATTACTATATCTAGTAAATCATTCCCATTGGCAGCAAAGGATACAGAATGTAAATATAATATTTTGAATAAACGAAACAATCAATTCTTTTACATTAACAGATACCCAAAACAAGATTAACCATAGTGAGCTATTCATACATATGAGAAAATATAATCGTGAACGAATCAAATGTAAAAGTACAATTCTTAATCTGAATCAGAGTGTGTCGTATTATCCAAATCTTATAATCTCCTGTATTACTGGTTCAGTCAGTGAAAATCTGAGTAAGTATTTGCTTGCTCAGCTGTGCGTTTTGGTTGTTAAACAAAGCTAATGAAAATAATACTTAACAGGATGCACATACCACAAGACAGTGTTGGTATATCACGTGTGGTCCTTGGTGTTGGTTTAGTTGTCACCTCATTGTCATCAAAGGTTATTCGCATTTTCTGAAGAACTCCTTTGTCCCACACAAGTAGCTCACATTTTCCAGGTATAAATTCTAAAGAGTTAAGGTAACCCTTTTTAGGACCTGGATATCGGAGCTCACTGGGGGAAAGTGAGGTTAGTCTACTCGTTTTCGTGTCAAAACGGTGGGTAAAATAAGTGGGACTGCTATACGAGTTAAGAATATATAGCATTCCGTTTGCCATGAATGAATTTCCACTCCCCGATTTCTTTACACTGAGCTGCCATGTTTGAATAATGACCAATGTATCGATGTCCAAATGTGCAATTGCATAGGTTCCACCATTTTGTTTTGAACCATATATGGCGTAAAGTTGATTCCCAGAATCCAAAGCCAGATCAATGTCCGAGTATCCTCCCCATTGATAATGATATGTATTATGGAAACCAGCGTCTGTCAAAGCGCCTTCACCAACGTTTTCTTTGGTACTAATTTGTATTTTCACCACTCTATTTGAGTTTGCCAAGTTGCAATAGAAATAGCCTGCGTATATGACATGTCCAGTTCCGTCACACGATTGACCTGAAATAAATGATGATTCGTGTAGGCTTCGTTTAATAAACTCACTGTAACACTGATCAAACGTATACTGATCGCAATGGAAAAAATACATACCAAGAGTTATAGTCTCTATAGGAGTCCCCGAAAGTGACATCTCGTTAGTATACCTTTCGAGAGTGTTGGCCGTATAGCCTTTCATAACCCATGCTGTTGAATCCATGGGGTCTACAAACCACCAACCATGTGATCCTAGTCCAGATTTCAAATCAACTGCATTACCAATACTCAGAACCATCGCAGTTGAACTACCTTAATAAGCAAAACAACATTGGCATGATTAAAACATTATAGTGGCAGAAAAAGATACAGAGAGTAAAACTTTGGAATACACGACACGATCGATGTGTTTTTTAAATTAATTAATAGATCATGATCAGATTATTGCAATTCTGATTCTGATTATTTCTGCAGAAATAAAAAAGAAAATTATGAAAGGTTTCATCATGGTGCAGTTCAATTAATCAATAGATATCTCCCTACTTACTACAGCTTGGGGTAGTTTGAGTAGAATTCTCGGATGTTGGATATATATGAAAAGTCGATACTTCAGATGTTTGCCCAAACGTTGTTAGTCCAGAACTGTTGAAGGGCGTGGTCGGACATGGCTCTTGTGTTGGACATGTTGGGCATGGTTCTTGTGTTGGACATGTTGGGCATGGTTCTTGTGTTGGACATGTTGGGCATGGTTCTTGTGTTGGACATGTTGGGCATGGTTCTTGTGTTGGACAGGGCTCTCGTGTTGGGCATAGTTCTTGTGTCGGACATGTCGGGCATAGTTCTTGTGTCGGACATGTCGGGCATGGCTCCCGTGTTGGACATGGCTCTTGTGTTGGACATGGTACTTGTGTCGGACATGGCTCTTGTGTCGGACATGGCACCTGTGTGAGACATGGATGTTCCGTGGCTGTTTTCGACGGTGATACATTATTATCATCAATCCATTCCTTGAGTTCATTGCATAAACGTTTATAACTGGACAAAAACTTCATCATGCCTGCTTTTGATTTTTCTTTTTTCATATTTTTGAGGTCCAGCTGAAATTGTTTTAAAATATCTTTCCGAAATTTCCAAATTGCGGTTGCTTGAGGTGAGCCTTTGGGTGATGTACTTGCAAATTGTAACGATTTTGACTGAAATGAATAATATAACGATGTATAAAATAGATGTTTTGAGAGGTTAAAAATTCCGCCAAAAAATAATGAACAACCTTACAACATTAACAGTGAACATATTTTTGTATTTAAATAGAAATGAACTCTATCATTTATCATTTTCTCACCAGCATGTACATTAGCATAGAATTTGCCACACCAATCCACTCTTTTACTGTTTTCCCGGGTAATTTACTTTCAATTTTCTCTGTGACTCTCTCTAAATCTAATTTTAATTCGACTGCTATTCTGGCCAACTCTGCCAACCTTGGATGGATTTTCTTGTCAGTAGTTTGTCCATCAGCATTATCTCAAATATAAAAGTTATGCTAACGTAATGCTTAAAGTATATATAATTCATAATTAAATAATTACTGTATACAGGGTGTCAAATAAGTGCCGTCCCACTTCTACAGCCAAAAACCAAAATATATGACACTAAGTATTTGTTTGTTTTTATAATGGGGACGTATGATGATGAGAACTATCGTTCAGACCAAAGGAACATGTTATGAAAAACCTCAGCTGGCTTGGATCATAACTCACCTTTGGACTAAACCATAAACTAATCTTTCATTGAGATTTTTAAGGCCTGTATCATGCTGGGTAGCTCCTAAAAGGATGCGTTTAAGCATTACATTGTTGGTCCTCACTTACTATGTCTAGAGGCCAAAAAGCACTCATCTTGGTTGGTTGTGAGCTTATGGTGCAGGTCATGGTGCAGACCTGTTAAAACGTGTCTAATATGTCTATCCATCGTAAATTACCGCTCCAATTTTATGATCGGGAGGATAATATAAATCCATAGACCTCAAAACAAACAGAACCAGGTTGACATGAACCCATTCACAGGCCCAGATGATATGGTAGCGATAAGATCAAGTGGCTATGATATAAAAACCAGGTGTCGATGTGAGAAGGAGACTCTGGGAAAGAAAACTATGTTTTACGTTTCAAGACGTCTTGCTATAAGCCAGATTTACATTACATACATCGAGTTCCATCTTGCCCCATCGAATCCCAACTTGCCCCATCGAGTCCTACGGAATCCAATTGGACCTCGTTAACTTTGCCCCACGTAGTCCCGTCGATTCCCACAATGCCCCATCGAGTTCCATGGAAATGATATAATTTAGTTTAGAAGGTTTTGCCGCGGTCATATTTCTCCCAAATTACCTGACACGTCACATTAAGGTTTCACGATGCCCCATGGGAAGAATAACGTGTTCTTTATCGATATGGGACAACGCCCAATTTTGCCCCATCGAATCCTACGCTGGATTTACACCAGGTCTGTAAAAGGTTTTACGCTTCAATACGTTTTGCCATGACTAGGGTCCAAAAACGTTTTAGCCGAGCATTCAGCCGAGAGCTCATGAGAAGACGTGGATTTACAGTCCTAGAACGTTTTCAACGTTTTACCCCCCCCCCCTCTTGGGAAATTTTGGGGACGCCCCTGGGGATCATTTTTGCTACTATCGTAACTTCAAGGACACCATTTGCTCCTTTTTGGGGCGAACAATGACTTGCGACCAAGAATTGTCAGTTACGATGGTTCCAAAAACGGATCACCGAGTAGGAATGTTGCAATGAGGTTTACTGACGGTGCAATATTCTGAAAAAGAAATAAAGAATAAAAGTAAAATTTTCAGATTATTTACCTATAGCGTGAACATCCGTTGAGAGACCGATTACAATAAAAGCTATGATGAATAGATTTTCCATCATGGAATCCTCTCTTTTTTCTTCCAGTCTTCAGCAACTCGGTACACCTGCGTCCACTTCTCTCCTCTACTCAACAGCACATCATCCGTGAAGGCCTTACATTATAAAGTGTCCAATGACATGACTGAATCATTGTGAATCAGCGTTTTTTGCAAGACAGTAATGATATAGCATGAAAAGTGAAAAGTCATCCTCAATTAATATTTTATGCGAAATATAAAAAAGTACAATCATTCACATGACATGCATTTAATTATTTTAAATGTCAGACAACCAAACATGCAACTAAACATGGAGTTCTAATAGTAAGTGAACAATAAAATGTCAATTTTATGATGGTAGAAATAAAAAGCCCGTTCTGGATCTGATTGGCTGTCACTTGGCGACGCTCGTGTCATGTGACGGGGATTCCCTTTTATGGCAAAAAGCGCCATTGCGTTAAATTCTCAAACGGTTTTGATGGTTGTTCTGTTGATTTTCTCCTACTGTACCCCAAAACTATGAAAATTATTATCACAAACTGACTCCTGTTAAAATACTAACTATGGCATCAAAGTATTCCTGTCACTTTGATTGTCTTTGGGTAGCTTCCCCGGGGGGGGGGGGGGGGGGGGTTCACTCTGAATAATTTGGGTAGGTATGTGCAGCACGGTCAATTGTGGCTTTGGGCATAAACCATGGAAACTGGCCTAAAAATGGAATAATTGTTGAAGAAGGTACCTTTTTAAGGTCAAAATTCAATTTTCTACAAAAAATGATATTAAATTGGTTAAAATCAGTTGCGAGGCCTTGGACAAATCACTGGATTTGCTTAATGTGTATTTTTTAATAAATCATTTCTGTTACCATAGCTACCAAGTGTTAAACATTAATGAAACTTGTCATAGTGGTAGTGCAGCCATTATAAGTAGATGATTACCTGTAAATATCAAGATGAATGGCTGTATATTCTAGGAATTATAGATGGCTTTCATTGTACCCCCTTAAAATCATTCCAATGGGGTATAAATCTGTTTACCATAGTAACCAGTTATCCAACACTGATGGAATTTTCCATGATAGTCAAACATAATGATGTGAATAATATCTGTTACCCTACTATCACACCAAACTAGTTCTCACTACGTTCTCGAAAACGGGCTGCAACTGTGTACGAACGGACTGGACCTACCAAGAACCGTTTGGGATCTATTTACAAACTTCATCGAACGTACTCGAACGGGTAGGTCCTTTAGAACTTAGACAATGCTCAAAATGTTCTCGTGGTCGTCACGTTCTACAATTAGAACGAGTGACAACGTACTAACGACGAGCTGGACGTACTACGAACGGAACCGTCGTATTTCAATCCTACTAGCGACGTTTTAACAACGAGTTGAACTGTCTGAGGACGTGTTGAGAACTAATTGCAAACGGGTTTAAACTGATTAAGAACGTATTTAACAGTGCTTATGAACGAGTTAGCAAAAATATAGCTATCACACCAAACAAGTTGCCACTGCGTTCTTCAAAACTGGTTTTAAACTGTGTGCGGACGGAATGAACGTAGCTGCAACTTTCTAAGGTCTATTTACGAACTTTGTGAACGTTCTCAGACGGGAATGTGATTATAGAATTTTGAATCGATTCAAAATTCGATGGCGACCATACCGTTCTGTAATCAGGTCATGTTGACCTTCTAGACTATGTATGTATGTATGTATGTATGTATCTTTTATTCCCGATTTCAAATCGGATTTCATATAAACTAATTACATTGTTAGATTAATACAATAAACATAAAACATAAACAAGGTCACAACATATTTACAATCTTTAAAAGTAATATAAAAATTTCAGATTACAAGGTCTAGATCTTCTGCAAGTTTATGCAAATAAGGGTACGAGACTAATCCCTGAGTCTGATATCACTATATGAATGTATCTCAGGATGAGCTCTAAGTTATGTATCTCAAATGACTCCGAGGCAGGGCCGCATACAGAAGCACAAATTTCTCTTGGATCGAACGCTGGATGGTTGTTGGGTAACGCAACGTCAATAATGAGTTTATTCCTCATGTGATTGTACTTATTACAGTCGATTAGCATGTGATTTATGGCATCCTTATAGAAATTGCCACATCTATCGCAAAGAAGGTTGGAGTCATTGACGGGCATGGCTAAAACTTTGACTGCTGTGAGAATATACGGAAGTAGATAATTCCGTTTTCTGGCTAAGTTCCAAAGATTATGGGCTCTCAAAACAGAAATGGAAATTCTGATGTCATTGCGTTGAGATTCACTTTGAACTAGGAAGCGTTGTCTGACTACATATTTGCAAATGCGTTTCCACAAGATATTATTTGGAAAATAACCGTTATCTAGATATTGAATCAGGTATTGTTCCAATTCGTAGGTTTTCAGAATGTTTGAAATGTCGGCGACAAATCCTGCCTGCCGGTGATTTCCGCCGTAAAGCAAATTTGCTCTAAACAGAAAGATGTCCTTTGTCAACGTCAGCTGTTGCATGTTGCAAAGCAGACCAAGAAACGACAGCTTTCGTAGGTCAAGAGTGAACTGGACTGGTAACAGATCAGTTAAAGCGTATACAATATCAGTTCTCGTAGATTTGAATAATTCAAATAGACTTTTGAGGATGAAACGTTGAGCAATTTCTAATTTCAAAATTTCCGATTTTGTGATATTAAACCACAGCTCGCATCCGTAAAGAGCAGTGGGAATACAAATGGTCTTAATTAGATGTATGCCAGTTAAAGGGGTGAGACCCTTCGGATGTACACCAATTCCTGCTAGCGATGCGAAACTGCCTTTTAACTTATGACACGCGCTGGAGACTGCAGCAGTGTTTTTCATCGAAGCTTGGTATATGTTTCCGAGATGTTTACATTGATCAACCTCGACTAACACCTCGTCTTGAATAGACCACTCGCGTGTTTTCCGTAGTTTCTCATTTACAGGTTTCGACTCGCCAAATGTTATCACGCTTGATTTTGGAACATTTATCTTGAACCTCCACTTTTGGGAGTAATTAATGGCAATTGAAATCAAGTTATTAAGACTGTCCCTGTTATTGGCAAGAAGGGAGATATCGTCTGCGTACGTGGGGGCGCTGCAAGAAATGCAGCTTATCATTGATCCGAAGTTTGATCTTTCAAGTAGACAAAGTAATTCGTCGATGTATAGGGTGTAGAGCCAGCCCGAAAGCACCCCGCCTTGGCGGACTGATTGACTGATAGAGAACCAATCAGACTGATGCCCCTTAAAGATTATCGCGCCGCTTAAATTGCTGTAAAGCCGGTACATTATTATCCAGAATCGGCCTTGGAGCCCAAGCTTGTGAAGCTTAAGGAACAACCCTGCGTGCCATATGGAATCGAATGCTTTAGCGCTGTCAAGACTTGCCATAAATGTTTTCTGACCAAGCTCATTGTTGGAATTAATTGTCTCAGTAATGTTAAAGTTGCAAGTCGTGCAGCTGAGACCCTTTTCATAAGCATTCTGTTGGGGGCTCTTGTGAAATCTGGTCCCAGAGGTGCGCTCAGCCTTGTCAATCCGAACCTTCACTAATGACTCCCATAGCTTTTCTATCACAGGGAGAAGGGTTATGTCTCTATAGTTATTAAGATCAAGCCTAGATTTCTGACCACCTTTGTGTAATTTCGCTATCAAACCCTGTGAAAAAGCAAGTGGTGGAGTCATTGTGAATGTTATCAGGTTGAAAAGCATAGCTAGAATGCTTACAAGGGACTCACCTCCGTGAATGAGATGTTCATTTGAAATACCGTCGTGGCTAGAAGCTTTTCGTTTCTTTAGCTTCCTTATACCATCGCTAACCTCATGATCCGTGAAAGGGAGGTTTAGAATTGGATCATTGGCTATTGTGTGGTTGTCGCCTAAAATAGAATCGACCTCGTTTTCAACCCGGGTCTTGAACGCGTCATCGAACGTGGGAGACGATAATTTGGAAAATATTCTATGAGAGTGTTTGGCGAAAGCGTTAGTAATAAGCAGGGGGTCGCGAATCACTTGATCTCCGAGTTTAAGCTCTTCGCATGTCGCGATCGTTTTACCTCTCTGACGTTTCATAATAGCCCACATGAGCTTCTGATCAGTCTCCGCGGCTGTGTCGATCTCATCGTAAATGGAGGAAGTCCATTCATCAATCGCGAGACGCTGGGCGTGTCTAAAATTTTTCTTAGCGTCTTTATATTCACGGTAAGACTGGTGAGACATACCCCGAGGTCTGCCTGAAATGATCCAAGATATTCTGCTAACCTTCTGTTTTTTATACAACTCTTTTACGTTTCCCAACTTCCAGTAAGGTTTTAAGTAAGGACGGAATTTCTTAGAGGGTATGGTCTTTTCACCAGATAAACTCATTGCGTCTACTATTCTATTATTGAGATCACTTGTGCTCTGTATGCGATCATGCTCGACGTCGTCCTTGATGGGGGCTAGCCTATCTGAAAGGTAAGACGTATATGTATCTTTAATGGTGTCAAGTGGAATTTTTTCCCATGCAAGAGTTGGCCTGGTCGAGGAAGCATTGGCAGCTTGTGACAAAGATTTAAATTTAAATGTAGCTTTCACAGGGAAATGATCCGAGAAATGTGTTACGTCATGTGATAATACGCTGCAATGCTCAACCAGGTCCAGCTTTGACGAAGGAATGACAATATGGTCGATAGTACAGGGTGGCGATTTGTTTTTAGGTAAACAAGTATAGGGTGGTCCTGAGCATGATTCATTCACCATTAATGACAACATATCAAAATCATCAAGAATGTTTTGAAACAACGAACTTCTGTCATTTAATTTAGGTTTTATAAGTCTTGGCCCATTAAGATGGGCGTTGAAATCACCTAGAACAATTACAATACCCATAGATGAATAGTAAGTAATAATGTCTCTAAGATTGTCTATATAATCAATAAATATTGGCAGTGAGTAATTGCTGGCAGGTAAATATACAGAAAATATATAAAGTCTTACATTGCTCTCAACCAATACTTCAATACCTACGATTCTGTCACTAGAAATGTTGTTAAGCCTTGTCACAGACTTCCCAAGCGAACGTTTCCACAGTAAAGATACACCCCCCTTTCCACGTCTGTGTGGATCAAATGGATCGAGCGATGCATCTGCACGAGAAAATGTGTCATAATGTCTGTTTACGCTGTTAATGA